CTAACCAGGCCAAAATTGGCATGGCGGGAGTCCGCGTCGCGAGGGTTTCGCGCCACTTCTGCGGCTAGCTAGTCTGCTCTCTCCTCAATCTCTTCGCTCTTTGCGACAGCGCGCGTGTGCAGCGCAAACCCCTAGCGCTGCGAGCGCGCATTTTCAGCCGATGGTTCGGCCTGATCCCGTTTGGGGCAGACTATATTTCCTCCGCATTTGGGTTAGTTTGAATTCTTTCTTGCGTGCTTTTCTTTCTTCACACTTTGGCATAAGTTATTGCTGCATGTTCTTTTATGTGATACATATCATCTATTCTCAAACCAAGAGACTCGGAACCGCTTCGCCCATAATGTGTAAACAAAGTCAACTTGATTCTTCTTGGTTCCAAGGAGTGAATGAGGCTTGATGGGATGGACTACAAGCGTAAACTTGTTAACCACTTAACTTGTTGACCTGGCGGCAACAGGAAGGAAAGCATGGAAAAGCGTAGCGCGGCATTCAAAGTATCATCTATTCTACAACTAGGAGACGCGAGACCGCATTGCGGACATTGCTCAACAAGTTTGAGTTGGTTTTTTCCTGTTTCCAAAGAATAAATAAACCTGGACGAGATAAATAACAAGTATAAACCTGCTAAGTACACGATTAGGCTTGTTTAGACAATGTGTGCAATGCGGCCTTGCGTCTCCTAGTCTTAGAATAAATGATAGTTCTGACGAATTTGCGCTCCTATGATAACAAAAGCCGCCAGCAGCGGCTACGGGCATACGGGCTGTTGCGGGCGACTAGCGGCGGCTGCCAGTGCGGTATGGAGGAACCTTTAAAGGCAGCATCCAGGCAAATCTGGACATACGCTGCCTCAATGTGGATAGTAATTTTGGGGCCCTACCTAAGACACTGCCCAAGCGGGAGCTCAAATGGCGAACTCACAGTTGAGATATTCGCCCCTAAACGGTTGGAGGAACGAACCCCTCAATTAGGGCCGCATGCACTAACATCCTCGCGGGGAGGTTAGTGCATGCGGCCCTTAGACACCGCCACCGCCGACTGCTGGTCCTTCCGTCCTACTATTGTGCATCGTGCTAGGACCGGCAGTCCGCGGAGGCGGTGCCTAATTGAGGTGTTCGTTTCGAATATCTCAACTGTGAGCTCACCATTTGAGCTGCCGCTTGGGCAGTCTCTCAGTTAGGGCCCCAAAATTACTCCCCACATCCGAACCCCGTATGTCCAGATTTGCCTGGACGCTGCCTTTGGCAAGGGACATACCTCACGCAATTTCAGTCGCCACGCGATCTGGCAATTTGCCAGATGTCTTCAAATTTAATACTGGTAGACCCCAAATGCACAGCATGTATAGCTTTCGTAGGTTGATAAAATGCCCCACCTTCGGTACATTCAGAAACCCCGTACGATGAGTTATGAACATTTGGAGTATTGCCAAATCGCTTGGCGACTGAGATCGCGTGAGGTATGCCCGAGGCCTTTAAAGATGGGTCCGCTTGGCCATAGTAGTCGTTCTTGTAAGTTTGTCATTTGCTACTATCTTGCTTATTTTTTCTCACGCGGATGCTTTTGAGCATAAACAATGTTCGCTTATTCGATGGACTCTAAAAACAAATTTGTCCGATTTTTTGTAGGATTCGGAGGAAGTACCTTTGCACTTTTATGACACTGTAGCATGCAAATGGATAGAGTAACTTCTGCTCAGTGCATCATTGATCGTGGCTTTGTATCAGGTTCATGCTGACAAAAGACAGGGCCTCATGAAGTAGCTGTTATATGTTGTTGTTGGTTGATTTATGTGCATGCCATACGCACTCTTCAGCTGTTAACCATCTGAGGTAGGTTGATCGTTTTTATTTTATCGAGGCAAGTGGGCGGGCATGTGACTATTGATAGATGCCTGCTGTATGTTAGCGTGGTGACTCGATCAAATCCAGCGGTCGTCTGCTAGTTCTAGCGGCATTCTCTTAGGCCCGTATGCACTAACATCCCTGCGGCGAAGGGAGCGACGTCCCCCATGATGTAAAAGTAGCAGCGGCGTCCACACTCGGCCCCTTCATAAAAGAACGCCGCTACCCTCGCCGCAGGGATGTTAATGCATACGGCTTAGCTTTCGTCTTCACTGGGGATGTTTCTTTGCCAGTTATGCTAATCTTTCGTTTCAGCAGTTTAGGTTCTGCAACGTTTAGATGGTTGCAAATGCCACCATCATCAAATGTCTGATCATGGTTCATGATAGCCTCATTTGTTTTGATTTCAAGGCTCGGCACAGCTGGCACCGGTTCAAGCTGGATATCATATTTAGCAAAATCGGTCGGTTATACTCCTTCCTCTCACTCTCACTTTTTGTGACCCCCAAGGGCACCGTCCACCCATATGTTCGACTTTCATGTTTCGGTCATTTAGGGGCCTTCTCATATCCCTATTTTCGAACATGAAGTCGAGAATCCAAGTCCGACAATTTCCGTTCCAGAAAACTCACACGCCGGTTCTCCGGAACGATGATTGGATGGGCGGGCATCACAGGAGGGGGAGAGGAAGGGGGTGCCACTTGGGGCCTTCATGCCTCTTCGCTGTTTCGAAGCGACATTTTGCGCCGCAACTTAGGTGAGGGCCTGATAGAGGGTCCCATCCCACTGTCGTAAACTGCCAAAAGCTCAAGACCCCCAACTTAGGGTGGACGGTGCCTTTGAAGGCAGTGTCCAGGCAAATCTGGTCGCGTGACTCTTTCGCCTGGAAATTGATGAGGGGGTTCTGACTAATGCACTGCTCAAGGGGCAGCGCAAATTGTTCATTCACGCTGAGAAATCCCCCCAAAAACCCCGCGCCTGTGCCGTGACCGTAACCCAAAAACGACGTCGCTCACTTTGACGCTACGTTCGTTGGGAACAATCCTATCGTTTATTCGTTGACCGTAACGACTGCTGACCGCGCGGCGACCGCTGCGCGTGCATGATGTTCTCGTAGAAAAGATGAATAGAAAGAAAACAGAGGATTCTTCTCATCTTTATAATGTAGAAAAGAAACAAAGAATTATTCTCATCTTAAGCCACGGTCCAACTTGTCACTTTTTCGCAAGTTTAGAAGGCACGCGTCGCAGTCGCCACGCGGTCGGCAGTCCGTACGGTCAACGAATGAACGATACATGTTACGGTCACGGTGCAGCAGCGGAGTGTTTGTGGATGGATTTCTCAGCCGTGAATAAATTATTTGCGCTGCGGTTCGGGCAGTGCCTTAGCTAGAGCCTCCTCGACAGTTTCCAGGCAAAAAATCCAGAGGCCCAGATTTGCCTGGACACTGCCTTTAAGGGCCAAAATACATTATGCGATTTCATCGCCTCGCGGTTTTTCTCAAAAACAACTGTTACGTGTCCATTGCAGGCCCACGCAATTTGGATGTGATTCCTGACGCGACTAATCGTGGCCAATTATCACAACTGAAATGCAAGTTGATTGGCTTGCAATGGACCGTAACAGTTGTTTTGCAAGAAGCGCGAGGCAATGAAATCGCGTAATGTGCCCTACCTTTGGAAACTTCTAGTGGTGGCGCAATCCTGCTCCGATCGCAAAGCGTGCCCTCAAGCTATTCACTGCGGGAATGTTTCATTTTCACCGGTTGTTCGGTGTTCCTTCATGCTTGTCTTGGGCCTTTCAAGCTGTTGGCTTTATAATCGTTCACTTGTGGTTAATTCTGCGTTAGCACCCTAGAAATCAGTGAAGTGAGTAGGCTTCTAAAAGTGTTAAAGGGGACTTCCTTTCAGCTGAGCTGTCATAAGAAGATGGTCATATGTTGTAGTTCCTTTACAGTGTAACCAAATTACGGGCCGCATCAGGCTTATCTCAGACTTGCCTTCATCTAGAATTTATGGGTTTTCACATCAAAAATATCATAACTTATAATAACGGGCTTAGGGTTGTTTACGTTTTTTTTTGTGTGTGTGTGTGTGTGTCTGTCTGTCCGTTACGAAATTCGTAGGGAGAGTTCCAGCCAAGCTCTTGAGCCCAAATTTTGCATAACACATCCCAGCAGCAGGAAAGTCCATTGTGCAAAAGCACAGGCGGATCCGATGAGTGGATCCCCTAGAAATTGCGCGCGAAACGGGTTCACTTGACTTCTGACCAGCAAAATTGGGTCCGTATATAAACTTTTTGCAAAGTCGTGGATATGTTTGACAAGCTAATGTACAAGCCGTGAACTTTAGCCCAGAAAATCAACTAAAGTTGGTTACTTTACGAAAATGGCGCCAAAAGTATCAGTGCGTAAATGTTCAATTTACCACGATTTTACGTGATCATTTAAGAAGATTTTTGCACAGAGATGAAGCCCACGATGATTATTGCCGTTATGGCGACTACCAAGCCATGAGAAGTCCACAAACCTATTCAAATTTGCATTTATTCTTCTGAGAAAAGTTTCATCCACGTGAAATTACCGATCACGCACAAAAACCTCTAGGAATGAGTAGCTGTTTACAAATCATTCGTGATAGCCTGCATAACGCGGTGATTTCACTGTCATCATTATGCGGGAATTGTAAGGCATACAGAATGTAAGGCCAGTGCGAGCCTCTGCGAAGCAGAGGTGACGCACTGCTTATGCATAAGATTCTCATCGAACAAAGAACATATCGCTGCTATGCGGTGTCGCGTAAAATCGCGCAGAAAATTAGGCGTACACACTTGCAAACATCGAACATCCATTACCGCTGATCCCTCTCCCACACTATCAGAATGAGGCGGATAATGGGTAAGAGGGTCCATCCACATAGGTGTGCAAGGGTGGAGAGAGGGGAACGACATGCCCCTAAGGCTGGGTTCATAATGATTTCGTAAGTTCCGGAGCAGTTCCAGCACAGCGCTTGAACTGTGCGCTGTGCTGGGCCAGTTCCGAAACTTGTGGATCAGTATGAACCCGGCCTAAATTCATACTTGACCCTATACGACTTGTTTGCTCGTGTTGGTGCGTGTTGGCGGTGTAGTCGCACGAATGCTTTTTATTTCGAATCAGGCCATTACGAAATCCGGCCGTTAGTGCGTGCGTCCTTCAAAAGTGCTGTTTTGGCTCTGTATTTGCTTTGTACAAGGCGTTCTGCATAGGTGAGTTCCTGAACTTATTTTGAATTCATATCAGTTTTCATGAGATGTCTCGATTTTTATTCCACGTGTCATTTCATTTGCATTGTGATAGTGCGGATCACTTTTGCCGTCATTTTTAATGTTGAGAAAAGCTTGATATATCAGCAGCTCCACTTTGTTCTAAAACTCTCCTCCTGACTTCCTCGTTCCACTTTGTTTTCATTTTCGTTCAAGCGAGAATGTCACTCCTCCTTAGGTACGAGTATGCGTGTATCGTACAGTGCTGGCTAAAAGTTTGCAGCCACTCCGAAATTTTGCATCCTATTCTGTTTTGTTTTATTAGGTTGTCAAGAAAATAATGTCGTTTTTTATTTGCTTGCTTCAACAAAGCAAACAGACTCAACCCAACATAGGGTAAGGCATACTGTTCGATAGAGCAAAGCAAGCTCTACAAGATGGCATACATGATTTTTTGCCAAGTTCGATCCACGGAGAGTTCGAACTCAAAATCTAAAAATTTCCAAATGCCCAAAAATCGAAAAAAATCAGATCTTCGTTCAAATAATTTCTGCGGACCTCCCACCTGCTCACTTCAATACTTTCGATATCTGATATCCATATGTGCGATTGCTGAATTTTTTCCTTGACTAGAAACTGAGAAAACGAAAATTTCCCTAATTTTCTCAAAGCAATGCTGAGCCGTTTTTCCATATGCAGTTCTATAATACCAGCCTCGGTAAGTATAATTGTAGGTTTTCAGCCTATTTCGAGTGGTACTTTTCGAGAAATGTCGATTTTAGCACTGAAACTGAAAAGTAAAAATCCGAATTCAATATTTTTCGAAAACTACCGCTTGGAATGAGCTGAAAACCTACGGTTATACTTAGCGAGGCTAGTAGTATAGAACTACATATGCAAAAACGGCTTAGCATTGCTTTGAGAAAAGCAGGAAAATTTTCGTTTTCTCAGTTTCTAGTCAAGGAAAAATACAGCAATCGCATATATGGATATCAGATATCGAAAGTATTGACGTGAGCGAGTGGGAGGTCCGTAGAAATTATTTGGACGAAGATCTGATTTTTTTCGATTTTTTGGGCATTTGGAAATCTTTAGATTTTGAGTTCGAAATCTCTGTGGATCGAACTTGGCAAAAAATCATGTACGCCATCTTGTAGAGCTTGCTTTGCTCTATCGAACAGTATGCCTTGCTTTGTTGAAGCAAGCAAATAAAAACCGACATTATTTTCTTGACAACCTAATATTTTGTTTTTTTTTTGTATGAAAACCTTCATCTGCCGTTCGCATGTGTAGGGTTTTGAAACTTGCCTTCGGCAGCTAGACAGTCTGAATGATTGATTTTCAGCCCTCAACAAATGAGACATCCTTTGTCTCGTTCGAGCAGACAAACCTTTGCTTCATTTGCATCATCTTCGTCAAATAGTAGCTTTCGCCTTCTTTGATGTTTTCTGCGTTACAAAGAAATTCATGAAAGTTTGCGTGAAAGAAGAATTATTACAACGGAAGGTGTAATGTTTCCGGTCTGTAGGCAATGAAATCGATTATTATTTGACACGGACTTTTTTCGATCCATTTGCGTCTCACTGATGTTCACAGAGGGCATAACATACGTGGTGCTAGCTCGGAATCACCAGCACCCAATTCATTGCTTTACAAACACTCATAGCCGTGTACAGCTATCTCGATCGTGTCATCTATACAGCTGTGTTTCAGTTGACCTTCCTGTATCATATTTGTAGGTTTGAATAGATAAGGTATCTTTTTGAGTAACTGTTTGAGGTTTTCGACTAGCTGTCATCATATCGCGTTGCGAGTAACAGTACTGCGCCCGCCATACATTACCTCTGTCACCGCTACGACTGCTGTCCAATGACGGAATGATCAATAGTGCATTTCCTCTCTCGAATTCTCGGTGCAGTTGATCAATTCACCATTCAACAGCAACAAGCCGTAGCTAGAATAAACGGTGAAGTGATACATGGCCGAAGCTTAGCAGTGATGCTTGGAACTTTGGAGGGGGGGGGGGAATTATTTAGAAGAATTGACAGAAATTTACTGTCATCGTATTGTCGCCCTTGAAAAGGTGCTTTCCGCTCATAAGCGCTCTATTTGATCACAGGCGCACCTTTTCAAGCACGAATTTACCCGCTTTCTCCTTCAAGACACTTCGATGCTGAGAAGCCCCGTGTGTTGTGACGGTGTTAAACACTGATGGCATGCTTGCGGTTAGTGTGAGCTGAATCTGGTATATATAAGATTTTATTTTTACGAGTAGTACGCTGCTGCAAGCGCGGCATATCGGCACATTAGCGCCATTTTTAGGTAATCATTCGCTACCATAGTGCGTTAAATCCGTTAGGATTGCTTGCCTTTAAAGACAGTGAGTCGCGTTCCGCTTCTTGAAACTCTGTGGGGGCATCTGGGTTTCTTCTCTTCGATACTTACCGCGTAAAAACAGCGTCTAGGCAAATCCGGCATGTGGGGGTTCTTCTTGGAAACTGATTGTGAGACTCAACTAAGGCACACCGTGCTTGATACCTGATCCACTTCGCTATCGGTCAAAAAGTGAACATACCAATAGCGAAGACAAGTGGAGATTCCTTTCGCTATGGGTCACTTTACTGTTTTGACCATTAGCGAAGAGGATCAAGTGGAAGCGGATCAAGCCAAGGTATGGCGCGTGGCTAAGGCACTGCCCAAGTGGCAGCACAAATGATTAGTCCGCTGTCAAGAAATTCGCCTTCAAAGCTGCTGCTACCCTTTAGCGGACGTGGATGCTGCTATAGTCGTCCTCCCCCCACTAGACATCTAGTGGACAAATTCGAATTTGAGCTAGAGCACGCCGGTTGCGGGAGAGCGCGGCACCTGCAGCTCGTGCTTCAATCTTAAACATATTTTTTCGTGTTTTCCCTAGGTTTCAGCTGATTTTTGAACGCTAGCAGTTCTCTTAGTTGGTGTTGAAGTTGTTGTTTTTGTTCGAGCGATGAATCGTGCTACCAAGCTCGTTTCTTTGATTACGATTCCGAGTTGATTTTGGAAAAACGACTAAGTTTGAAAACTGGTGAAATTTTCTCGGTAAGTCTTGAACTTAGTCTTGCTTCATTGAACTTCGGGTCAAGAACTCCCCATGCGCATCCTTCATTCCTCACCTGAAAACATAGTAAAGAAACGGGCACAGTAGTACGAAACATCGCTAAGCAACAATAAACTCTTCACTTCTGATTACAACCGTCATTAGAACGAAAAAATCACAATTTGTCGACGATAAAAACACAAAAGAATACCGCACTAGCTTGAAATGCATTTGACGGTGTAGCGCTCTGCCGCAGCCGGCGTGCTCTAGTTCGAATTCAAATTCGTCCACTAGGCGTCTAGTGGGGGGAGGACGACTATACATGGGGTTCCACCACTTCGTGATGGGTCACGCGCAAAACCTTCAGTCCCGCAACTTGTCTGCTAGATAGGGGGTGGAGGAACGAACGCCTCGATTTGGCACCGCCTCCGCGGACTACTGGTCCCAACACGATGTACAACAGTAGGACGAAAGGACCAGCAGCCCGCAGAAGCGGCGCCTAATTGAGGCGTTCGTACCTCTACCCCTAGATAGGTATTGAGTGCAAATGCCTGGACTTTTTAATTTACGCGCTATGCTTGATCCATTTGATCCGTTTAATCCACTTTATTAACTTCGCTATCGGTCAGATCAGTAAACTGACCAATAGTAAAATGGCGCCCACTTGACTTCTTGGTTCACTTCACTATTTGACAGTTCACCGATTGTTTTGACCAATAGCGAAGTGGATCAGGTATGGCGCACATATCGCCAATAGGCTTCACCCGCGCGACAGCCAACACTGGCTGTGGTGGAGAGAAGTGCGCATTTATTGCAGATGTCGCTTTCTGCTGCAGCGACCTAGCGTCCTCTATCCCTTTTGAAGGCAGGAGCTCGCCAAAACTGAGCATCCCGAAATTTTGGCATGGAAGGTTGCTTGCACCCCATCATGAGAAGAGAGCAAGTCCGAGCGCGCAGCATGCTGCCCTTGCCTAGAAAACTGTCTCTAAACCCGTTACGCGCAAGCCATTCTGATACGCGCGGACGAGCTTGCAATTCTCCCTGTCCCGAGGTCCCGCAGCGATTCTGCAACTATGGCAGGCGTGCTCCACTCGTCCGAATTCAATATGGGAGGCCTTGGGAAATGGTGTTTTTGACTCTTCAAGGTGGATTTTTGGAATTAGCGCCTCGAATTACCCCAGGTGAGCAAAAAGACTTTAAGTCGAGAATCTGCCGAGCCGCTACATTTAAGCTTAAGGTTCCCTTCATATTGCATCAAATCCCTGTGCGCGTCCGCTTTCGAAATGGAGCTCGAAATCATTACCAGATTCACGCTCCATTGTGCATCTGCCTAGGTCTGCTCATCCTCCATGCGCTTTTCTTACTCTCGCTCCTGTGCATTCTTTCCACTCAATTTCCTAGCACTCCACTCTTACGCCCGAGTGTGGGAAAGGACTCACAAGGGAAAAATGGTTAGCGAAGTGGCGTTTCAGTATGAGATGTATTACTGCCTCGAACCGCATGGAACATTGATTCCGAATCTGCCTTCCCTTATCTGCTGCGGGTTCTCAAGGAGGATTATGAAGGTTTTTTAGAAGCGAGAATTTGAATGCGTGATCGATTTAAATTCCGTCGTTAACTTTTCGTAGCGTTCAAATGACGCAGTAGCCAGTGAATAAATTTGAATTGAGGATGTTCACAAATTTTCGCTCCTAAAGGCAGAGTCCAGGCAAATCTGCACATACGGAGTTCTGATTTGGAAAGTAATTTTGAGGGGCCTCCAAACTGGACCCCGGGATCGTATTTGCATGGATTCATGGCGCGACAACGTGGGTCTTCGCGCGAAACTGATTGTCGCGCCATGAATCCATGCGAGTACGATCCCAGGGTCCAATTTGGGGCGAATATCTCAACTGTGAGCTCATTATTTGAGCTGCCGCTTGAGCGGTGTTTTAGTTAGGGCTCCAATATTACTCTCCAAGTGAGATCTGCATAAGTCCAGATTTGCCTGGACTCTGCCTTTAAAGGCAGTAGACAGGCAAAATGGACACCTGTCAGATTTTGGTAGTTTCGGGTAGTGGACCCCCCAAATACACCGTAGCCCCATCCCCAACTTCCAGTTGATGCGCTAAGTCCTGAAAAAAGCGCTTCAAACTTCCACCAATAACGCCCACTCAATGGAAGTGGGCGGGGCTGGTGGAGTTTTGAAGCGCTTTTTTCAGGACTTAGCGCATGAATTGGAATGTGGGGTTGGGGCTACGGTGTACTTGGGGGGTCCACTACCCGAAAATACCAAAATCTGACAGGGGTCCATTTTGCCTGTCCGCTGCCTTTAAAGGCAGTGTCCAAGCAAAAAGTCGATTTTGAGATTTTATGCTTATCCGGGCCTATTCGCCATGCTGAATCCGAAAATGCACATGGAGTGCGCGAAAACGGCGAAAAAAGGCTCTAACGGAGGAGGGAAATCGCAGGTGGGCGGGGCCGTTCACGCTGTGACGTCACTCTCCCAGGCTTTAGAAGCGATCTTCTCGGTTCCGATGTTTATGTCATGTGTTTCGCAGTTGGCTGGGTGATGTTAGGGTGACTAGAGGAAGCGAGAAGATCGCTCCTGAAGCTGGGAGAGTGACGCCATTATGTGAACAGCCCCGCCCACCTGCAGTTTCCCTACTCCGTTAGAGCCTTTTTTCGCCGTTTTCGCGCTCTCCATTGTTGATTTTCGGATTCAGCATGGCGAATAGGCCCAGGTAAGCACAAAATCTCGAAATCGACTTTTTGCTTGGACACTGCCTTTAAGAACTCTTACAACTTCTCCCCTAGAAACTCAAACAGATAAGGAAGGCAGATTTGGCATCAGCGCTCTACACCCTCTAAAGCGGTGTACATCTGATCTTATGAAGGTCATTCCGGCCAACCCCTTTTTTGTCAGAATCGAGTTTAAAGGCAGCATCCAGGCAGATCCGAGCTCGACGACCACACCCACATTCCTCGGACGGCCAACCCTTTATGAACGAAATCTCCTTAGCCTTGACGTGTTTTCACATGACCAACACAGTCGAACTTACAGCGTTTACCTGTTAATACTTGCTTTCGACAAGGATAACATCGGAAGCACTCGTCCGGGTTCTCCCAAAATAGCCCCAAAAGGTGTTTTTTTGAGAAATTCACGCTTTTTGAGTTCCATATTCGTAATCAGCGCTATGGAAAGGCCTGGATAACATAAAAATATAGAAGTCGAGAATCTGCCAGGACGCTGCCTTTAATCAGGCGTAGAAAATGGAGGACACAGTTGCGAACGCGTGCAAGCTCAAGCCAGGCGGATGTGTGGGACTCGACCCCGCTTCTGCATCCGACACTGCAGTTGCGATAGCCTGTGTGTATTGTCATCGTTACCTGGCTGCCGTAGAAGCTTGCATATGCTATGAATTTGGGTGCCAATTCTGCAGGTGTGCTTTGCATTGCTCTATCTTTGACATCTATATCTGCCCTTGACCTTCTCGTAAAATATCCTTAGATGAACCATATCTTATTAGGTTCTATGCATCAGCATGTCTTTCATCATTTACAACATCTTACAAATCGCTAGTTGTATCCTGTAGTTGTGCCATCTCTGAACGGTATTCGGCGGTACACTAAAAGGTCTCCATGTATTATTTTTATAGTATTATTCGAATCTTGTGAATGTCGAATTGTCACCTCAGCCACTTTGATACTTCTCGGCACATTGTATTAAAGTTTCTTTTAGTGCCACCCATCTCTCCTAACTAATGTGGATATTTGCAGGTAATTGTCAATGTAACGATGGCGACTTTGACGAATAAAGCGTTCGTCATCAAGAAAATAACTTCGTCGGCGACTCTTTTGCTGGTCATCGACAAAAACTTCATGCTGGGTAGCTTTGAACCAACAGATCTTGCCCCGGCGATAGGTGCAGTAATTGCCATTAATTACAGGTAAGAAGTTGTTTTTGTATTGTTAGAGATTGCCAAGAAATTGTTGCGTCTCCGTCAAAAAATGCATTGTTTGTTTTGAAAAAGCCCGGGCGCTAGTTCCTTAAGTTGTAGACGATCTTCCTGAGATTGTTTGCCATGCTGAACAACACTGAGGTGCGAAGTTACAGCGGATTTTGACATTCGATTTCGACATGCTGATTAGGAATGTCACACTTTCTTCGCACGAAAACGTCTCCTGCTTGGTTACGGTGGGTTTACGGTAGGGGTCAAAATCACGAATCGGCGAATGTACCTTTCCCCTGTGCTTTGCTTGGGCAAAAGCCGCAGCAGGGTGTGTAGCGTGCGGGGGTGGTCATTTGTGCAAAGCTTCACGATCGTCCGAACCGCCGTACACCCGTTTCTGGCAGAACTATGTTTTACATCCGTTACCGTGTAGCTACCGTAACCCGAGAAAATGACGCTACGGTTTAAAACCCAATGTATTTGGCAACAGGGCCGAATAACTCCTCTAGACGAAGTTTCGTGCAAATCAGTGATATTGACCCCCTACCGTAATCCTACCGTAACTCCACCGGATGGCGCTGTCGCGCGAAATAAACACCATATTCGTGTGTAGCATACCAAATAATTCCCAAGACGAAGATTTAGCGAAATTCACGGTTTTCATTTTTTGGGTCAGCTAATGTGGAATAGTATCGATTTTTCCGTAGATTCGCGTACTACAGGGCTTATGTGGAATGCCGATCACCATATCAGTTGTGAAAGTGCTGAGGTTTGGGCAGCCCCAGGAGACGTTTGTGTAGGAAATGCATGCTAGCTTCAAGCTTGATGGTCTTGACAGCAACCCCACAATCAGCGTCGATTAGGCAGCGTCGGGTCAGATAGGAAATTGTAGAATGCAGGGGCGCCCGTCCTGGTAAGGCTCTTGCCCAACTGGCAATGCACCAAATTGTTTCTGAAGCAAGAAAACCGCTTCAGGAGTTAGTTAATAAGCCAGAGTGCGCATACCTACACAGTCAAAATGTAGGATCCCACAAAGACTCTGCGTCTTAAAGGCACCGTGCACCCAAAATGGAGGTTAGCGAGATTATGATGGCATACTAGTGTGGGCCACTATACTAGACAAACCTCCAAGCTTCGCCGCAAAAGACTGCTTCTGGAGCGAGAAATCCGCTCCGGAAGTAGGAAAGTGGGCGGGGAGACCCCGGTCGCCCCGCCCACTTGCATGCTTTATCTCGCCTGCGCTTGTTGCAGAGGGTTCTCGAAACAGGAATTTTTGAGGGTTTCGCGGATTTTCGACTCCATATTGGGAACCAGGGCTTCCAGAAGGCCTGAAGGCGACAAAAACATTGAATTCGAGATTTTGGGTGGACGGTGCCTTTAACCTTGGTGACGGGCGACGGGCTTCTGGAAAAGCTCGTTTCCGACGTTTTCATGCTCTCCAAGCTGCATTTTTGGCAGCGGGGAGGAATGAACCCAAGCGAGGAAAATTCCATTCGAAATTTTGCCCAAACGCTGCTTTCAATATGCGCTGTGTGTGCGATAGCGCACATTGTGGACCCAGCTCAGGAGCTCATATGCATCATGTAGAGAGCTGGCACTCATCTCAAAGGATGGTAAGGTAGAGCGCGGTGTGAACAGTTAGCGGGCTGCCTTGTAGAAGACGATGTATGGCAGAATCGCCCTAGAATTAGTACAGTGCGACTGACTTACATTCAGCTCTTTTGACGGACTGTTGCGCGCCCTCCTTGGGACCATTATACGGAAAGGCTGTATTTGATAGCGGCGTCATAATTAGGCACTGATAGTGGTGTCCAGCATGTCCGCGAATTAGTACCAAAATATTGAGTCATTTCGTATTGCTGGAACTTGCATTCTTATCAGTGTCATATACAATTGCAAACATTCAGCATCATAATCTCTCTTCAGAGTCAACTCGAAAGATAAGAGCATCATCGATGTTTTGAGCTGGGCGCCGTATAATGGATACATACCGATGCCGTTTTGTTTAGCCAGCAAAGCTTCTGAGGAAGATCTCAAGGTTAGTACTTCGTCTTTACATATTCATGAACTGCGTTGGTGCATCTGTCTCTTTCGAAATGTTCAGTTTCGCGGCGGCTTTTACACTTGTGGGTGTGTTCGCTATAAGGGAGTTCCGCTCTCGAATCCGGCGGTGTTTAACGATATCATTGGGGTCGTCAAAGACGACAAAGGCATTTTGGAAAGACAGTACATAGGTGAGCTTTTCAATCTGCGCAAGCAAAGCTGAATGTCTGTTTATGTCTCTGTCTGTATGTATGTTCCGAATATTCTGAACCGATCCGAAATTTGGCACACATATACTTCGGGGCAGGGCGGGGCGGGTGTCGTAGTCTACTTTTCCTTGTCGATCAATGTCGATTTTATCAAGTTTGTCATTTTTTTGCAAAGTTTGAGCTATAGGGCTGGGAGTTGGCACTGGAGGGTAAGTGAGCATGGCGATTCCGATTACAATTTTAGTTTTTGGAATTACCCATTAGTTTTATAGATTTTATCGACTTTTCTGCAAAGTTTGCAAAGCTACGGGGCTAGGAGTCGGCTCAGGGGATAATCGAGCATGCTGATTACGAATACAATATTAGTTTCTTGAATTATTAATTAATCGATTTAATCGATTTTTCCAAAATTTGAGCTGAAGGGCTGGAAGTTGGCACAGGGGAGTAAGTGGGCATTGATTTCGAAAGCAACACCTCAGATAATCGCCGGGGGCAGGCGGTCCGCAAACTCGCGCTTTTCTGCAGGCGGTCAGCAGAATTTTGGGGCGTGGCCAAACCTTCAGCGGGCGGTACTTCCGCGTTCTGCCAGCGGGCAGCAATACAGAATTTTCTGCGAGCGCTCGTCAAATAATATCTTCCAGCGAGCGCTGGCCAAACTTTCAGCAAGCGCTCGGACTCTTTTTAGGTATTTTCGGGCGTACGTCGATTACAGGTAAGACTCTGTGTGGTAGAGGTGTCACCGTTGGTTTAATTACTCAAGTTTGAGGTACTTTCTCTCAGCGGAAAGTACCTGGGGGCTGCGCGGTCCTCCATAAAGGACCGTGCGGCCCTTAAAAAGTTTGCATATTCTCGCGGAAAGTCCGCGAGAATGCGGCCACTGCGCCGCAGCTAATCCATAAAGAAACCGCGATTGTTCTTCAAGCATTCGTCTTTAATTTTGCCAACTTTCTTCCAAATTTCTGCAAGCGGGCCGCAAAAAATCAACGAACTATTTTTCCGGTGCGCGCTTGCTCAAAATTCGCATGGCCGCCTGCCATGCCGCCGCCGGCGGTTATCTGAGACAGAGAATGGGAAATGAAGTGTAGAAGATTGGGCACAGGGAAAGGTTGACAGGGATAGGGATGGGACCTTTTACAGTGTTTTAACAGAGCGAAGCCGGGTAAGCGAGCTAGGAGGATATATGTTTGGAATAGTTTGTGTTCACGCATCTACCGTTGTTCTCATGTTACTCTTAGATAGTCCAGTGATTCCTCTTATATTCAGTCTTCGTCGTACGAACTACGACTGAGTAGCAATATGGCGCTCAGATCATGGAACGTTTAGATGGGATGGTGTTAGATTTGTGTACGGGCTGTTCGATTGCTGTAAACAAATTTTTCTATATTCGTAAACCGCTTTAGTATGGGCCTATGGCTGGGAAGGCAAACATGGCACGTCATCAGTTGACGTTGATTTATTAGTTTGCAATTTTGGCAATGGAACCAGATGGATACATAATTGGGTTAGGAAGATGAGCTTTCGCAGTATGGCTGTAGGAACCGAGCAGAGCTGTGATGTCAGTTATTGTGCTGCTAGCTGCTGTATATGCACCGCAAAGGTGGGCTAGACATTCTTACTAAACGGTAAAAACATTCTGTATGGATCACAGCTTTTATGCCAATCTGGGGACAGATGTTCACTGGTTTTACAGGGTGCGTATTAGACTGATGGATGCATATCGCGCATTTATCGGGGGGGGGGGGGGAGAGGGGGGTCGCCTGGAGTCCGCGGATGGTGTTGGGGCGCTTGCCATGTTATGGTGTTGTCGGGAGCTTAGGGAGATGGTCGTAAGGCGCCTATCGATCTGCTGCACTAACTAAAGCTAGAAGAAATTAAATTTTATCTTGCAATAATAAGTATTAATATGAGGGGATAGTTATGCCTGTTTCGCCCCCTACCCTATACAGATTACTTACAGTGTTAACCACTCCCGTGGCTCGCCAGTAGGGAAGAGTAGTGTAATGAGGAGCATATATTTTAGAGGGGTATCCGTACTTGCGGTGTAGAGGAATAGATCAAAATAAAGATTAGCTATGGTTCAATTTTGTAGGCATTTTTGCAACAAATTCTTTCTTGTATTTTTGAATGATTGTTGGTTCAAATAATCATATGATATGCATTTATTTGCATAAAAACATTTGATCATGGCTTTAGAAATGATGTCGGAAGTGTATCGTAATGGTAAAAGTTGATCTATAGATAATTTTAATCTTTTAACAAAGTTTCAGATTTTGAGTAAGTCCTCTAAATCTTCAGAGTTTCACCTTAATCAATAGCAACCTTGACTTCAAGACTGATATGTAATCTAGTGAATGAATTCGTTAACTTCAAAATTGAAGCAGTCCGTTTTATCATATTGAGTGGTTATGTTTCCATCATCAACTTATATACAAAACTAAATGTCTGTTCTGTCTGCATCTGCCTTCTATTTATCTGTCTGTATGTCTGTCTATCTGTCCGTCGATCTGTCCGTATTTTCCGTTTTGATGTTAAAAAATCGACTATATAACCGAAATGTTGCCCATCTTTTTCTGAGGTTTATGTACAAGGTGAGTCACCTGATTCATATATTGTTGTTTTTTATACAAGCCGGCCTCATCGGGTCCCTGACTGCATAGAGTGGCTGTAGATTGCGGAGCCCGCTCCGAGCGGCCAAACCACCGCGTACCACGACAATTGCTGTCGTGCAGGTTATGCTATCGCGGCATCTCAACCGCTCCGCGCATGCTCCGTAATCTACGGCTAGTTCAGCGATCGAGGGAGGACTCGACCATACACACTGACCATACTCACCGATCATACACTCCTAAGTTATTGTTAGACGGTATATCCAAAGGCGAATTTGTATATCATTCGTGTTTAACAGTTGTTTTTTTTTTTAGGAAAGCTATATGCAACGGTAAAGCTGTGTAGGACGTCCAATGGTTTCCATTGGGAACTTTACTCTGTAGACGAGTATATGTTACCATTGGACAATGTAAGTATCCATCACAGAGGTTTTATTTGTGGAGCATACTAGCATACATAGCATAGCATACATATTTTTCAGCTTCGCCACTTTCCACATGGTATAGTAGGAGCTGTGAAGCAGAAAGGCGACGTAAATTATATCACATCTCGTGATTTTCCGCACGATGTCCGCTTTTTGAGCACCAATGTGTAAGTAACGCAGACCTGATGCTGTTATATGAAAAATTACAAATATTTCAGTGATTGGAATGTTGAGAATCTACTTGGTTCAGAAGTTTCTTTTTTTGCTCAAGAAGTCATGCCTTTTAAATATTATGTGAAAGGAACGCTCGAGCCAATGGGGGAGAGTGTGTTGACTACTAGATACAAGGGATTTTTTGCTGTAAGTTGTTTGAGCGTAGTTGTCTGGGTTGCAGACTTTTTTCTGGCAAAATTTTACATAAGTTAACAGTGCAAATCGATTCTTATATACAGTGCTTTTCTGGCAGGGGAAGTACTTTCACAGACCGTGGCCTGATATGAGATGCATGTCAGCTGAAGCAGTCCTGAACGCTGATATCAAATCTGCATTCCGTTTCTGCGGGACGCTTTCATGAGAGTAGTTTTGGAAGCTGAAATTCCTAATTTCAGGCGCCTTTTGAATATACGGACGCTTCCATGTACGTTAGTGGTGCATTAGTGTAGAGGCGTGCTGCGTTGAAGTCGAGAAGTCAAGTGTTTGATTTCGGTGGAGGGCAAACCCTTTTGCAGTTTGGGTGTGAGTTTGTTACACTTGAAATCGTCTGCAAACACTCACAGTAATGTGAATTCTGTGAGTTTCGTGTATAGAATTGTGAATTGATTAGTGTGATTTTTTTGAGCCTTGTATGGTGTTATAATGCTTCACGAGTTTTATTTTACTGGTAAAGAAACAAATGAAACTTCAGTGTCTTGTCAGAATCAGCTGTGCCGCTAGTTATGGCCAGAAATGTCAGGGACATCACTGAGAGAGTGTGCAGACGACTTCAAGTGCAATCAAACTCGCACTCAAACTGCAAAGGGTTTTTTCTCCACCGCGATCAAACCTTTGACCTCACGACTCCAATGCCAGCATGCTAACCCTATGCTACTGCACCACTAACGTACATGGCAGCGTCCGTATACTTGGAGAGCGCTTGAGTTAGGATTCAGGCTTCCATAGCTCCTTTTGAAAGCATTACTTAGAAACGAAATACAGATTTGAAATCAGCGTTCAAGATTGCTTCAGATGATATGCATCTCATATCAACCGGCCACTGCCTTTGAAAATACTTCCCCTGTAAGATCTGAATGATTTCAGCTGACATTGAAGGTGGAGCACCTTGGTTGCAGGGACGACCATGGGGTCACAATTGTTTGGAGTGATAAGTGGGAGTTCATGAAGGATCCGTTTGATCTTTTCAAGAATTGTGGTAAGTGTGCGTTGGGATGCCATAGGCTAGATCGTCAATAATACTTTTCAGATTATGGCATTTACAAAGTCAAATGTATTAGGCACTACGACCCTAATGATTTTCCCAGATGGAAAGTTACAAAGGTGTTTGATACGGTGCAGAGTTTCGGCAAGGACAATAAGCAAATTTCTTCAGAGGTGTGTTTCGTACCTTGTATCAGCACTATTTACCACAATTTATAGCAATCCAATGCATCTGTGACACTTCAGCAAACATACGTCAAAGAGTTCTCCAGTGAGTAAGCACAGCAGTTTGCTCATTGTTTGGTCATTTACGAGTGGCTTTGTTTGCAGATATCTCATTAAATGAAAAAAGAAAGGATTCCGGTGTTGGATCGGAAAAGGTTTGGTTTGCACGAATATGCTGATTTTTGTAGAAGTTCTATTTACATTTTGCAGAGCTGCGATATATCTAGAAAATCCAGTGTTTCGTATACGAAACCCTTGTGCGATGACGGGAATGGCAATAACGGCTTTATCAATGAAGATTTACAGGCGGAGGTAATATTATTGTTAGAGTGCAAAAAATCTGCGAATGGAGTTTGGATGTCGAATATGTTTTTTCAAATTGAATCAGCTTCGCAAATTGAAGGTTTCTGTAAGGTTCATCAAATAGACTGTTTGGGTCTCGCTTTCGCTGAGTGTTCCCTTCTCAGTGGTTTCTTCAGAACTTGTACGTACTCTTTTGACTTATTTTCAAAAGTAATACATGAAATGCTTTTTCATACGAATCTGATCTTAGATTTGTGAAGAAATGCTTCTGTGCGTCTACCCGAAATATAGCCCCATTTTTATAAACACAACCCTCAAGGAGAAACGATGTTCATCCCTCTAAATCGCGCTACGCTTGATGACCCTCTACTCTCACATACCCACTCCAATCACTTGCCTCATATCAACATGGAAGTGCAGATGCTTACCATTTTTTAGTATGTTATGATCATCTGCAACATAATAATACTCGGTTTTTATCAGTTCTCATCTCACAGTAATATTAGCTATTAACGTGTAATAGTAAATTAGGGATGCCGAATTCGTTCGAAAAACTTAGGTTTGCCGCCAGCGATTTGGCGTTGGACCGCAACCAGGTGTTCCAAAATAAGGCTTGCGACAACGAAGTAGACACTAGATCCTTTGAAAATGTAGTTGTTGCTTTACTCAAAACCAATAGCGAAAACCAAATTCCATGCTTTTTGGGAAACGGCGCCCATCTTGTGATGCAAGCTAGTGTGGATGTTTGGCATGTAAGCTCTTGGTTCAAGCAGTCATTGCGATTGACATTTGTTAAGGAACTAAGCGCTTTTTCACAAATGCTTGTGTAATTGCTCAAGATGTTATTCGCGCCTATCAGAAATTTTCTTGTGATTGTAGTGCTGCCGTGAACGAGTATTGAGTTGATCACTTGTTCCATATTTCAGCAAAAAAGGAGCATTCGAGCAACGAAATTTACATGGCGCGTGATATGTGCGCTATGCTTTTCTTCTTTGATGTTTCTCTATTTTGGTTTGGTCATCTTTTGAGAAAGATCTCAATCAAATGGATCTTGATATCAGAATCTTACCTCATATTCACAATCATGTTGCACAATAAAATGTTTTACTTAACTTTTATGTTTATTCGGTAAAGAGCTATGTTTTGGGCAAAATTGCTATAGATTTCTTTGTGATTCCGTTTTCCTAACTCTGACCAAAGTTACTAGCACTTTATCTTTATCCATCAATATTCAGTGAGAAAGTTATACGTGATTGCACATGGCTAGTCACGAGATGACATTTGAGAATGCCGGCACTGTAGTCATTGACATCAAAAAGGAAATTATCCTTTGTGTTATGGAGATGCTAGAGGAATTACCGGGTCTCGCCTAGACATGGCTAGAATGGGGTCGGTGGAGGCACTACCAAATTGGTATCAAACGTGTTAATTTACCATCATTGCTCCATATCTGCGCTGAAGCGCTCCTGTGGTAGATGTCCTTTTTCTACTTCTGAATGCGAAACATCGGATTGATTTCGCTGTGAAAATCAAACGAGCTTAGCTGCTTCCTGCAGATTGATCCGCTGATAGTGATTGATAAGCTTGTATTCCCGTAGATATAAATCAACAAATCGATGAATTAATAGAAGAGCCCAATGAATTGCCGCGAAAAGTAGCCTATGCTCTCCGTCATGGCTTGTTTGTAAGGGAGCGGAATTTCCTGATTGATCCATTCAGAAATATTTTCATTCGGAACATACTAAGCCAAAAGCGTTATATGTAGAGATGGTTACAGCGCAGTTAGTGGCAAACGTGAAATTGAAGAAAAGATGGGGAAATTAATTGAATTTGGAAATATTGGCGGCTCTATAGTGTTCAGGATCGTAGCAGAGCAAAAGGGACGAAGCATGGGATGGTTTGGGGTGTTATTAGTGAAAATCAAGCAAAGTATAGGCAAGAATGTTTGGATTTTGAGGAAAGTGATGTGAAGAGTCAAGATTGCTGCCGGCTCAAGTGCCTTAAGGTGCTTTGGCTTTTTGTCAAAAATAAAATTTGATTGTATGCGACACAATCTTGAATTCCCGCTTCTGCGAGATCGTATTAGGATAAGTCTGTCCAAACTTGTTTCTGAATTACAGGATGCCTGGGAGCGTTTATCATTTATTCGTTGAGCTAACGGTTGGGATTTGGTACAGGATGAGCATGCTGATTACGAAAGTAAGAAACAGAACCTTGCGCACACATGGTTGAAAACGCTGAATTTTTCTACCTGCTTCCGGAGAAATATTACCAGATTAGATAGATTACAAGTATACTTGTCATACCAATACCAAGCTTGTTTTTACAGCGTGTGCAGAGCTATTCCGAGTCTCCCAGTCACAGATTGAATGGTACATGTCTGAATGACCGTTTACGACATCCACTTTTATTTTACTTACGAAAGCAATATTTTCTATGTTGTGTCTCCTTTTCGAACAACCTCACTGTTGCATTACTGGTCGAGATTGATGCATGATCTGCTGAACTTATCTTCAGTAACTTGAATTTTATTAGTTGTAGTCTGAGATAGCGCGTTTTTATGCAAATTTCGCATAGGTTTTTGTCACTGATTGTAGCGAACAATCAGTATTCTTGCTCCCAGTAAGAACGTCCTGGTGACAGTATGAGAAGGGCTCCGTATATGTTACAATCTATACCTATTGATATAATTCAACCAGTTGAAGTTTAACATGTTGACGAGCCAATTTTTTGAGGCCTGTCCCTGTGGACGAGACGTTTCCGTGCATCCCAGCGCCTGGCCACATGTATGCATGCATCCATGCACGAAATATAAAATGCGCAAGCCCCGCTCCTGTGGCAAGCTCCGCCCACTGGGCCAAAAGTGTCGAAAATTGCCCAAATTCCGAGAATTCATGCGAATTGCGCACTTATGTCTAATGGGCGTATCTTGCCATTTAGGCGGCGGAGCTGCCTGACGGTGGGCCGGATCTAGCTAGAAGTTGCTTGAGGTCTTTGCGTTCATCTATGGCCTCATTCATGCTTTTTATGAACAAAAAAGGTCCTTGTGAGAGGCGTGGAAGTGGGCGGGGTTACCAAAAGGGGCGGGACTTACATCTGAGCCTATGGTGATTAAACAAAAATTGAGAGGAATGGACGGATAGTTGAAATGAAGGCCGTGCACCATTGCGCGGCACTGTCGTCAACCAGTTAAGGAAGGCCTGCAATGCATGGCTTACGCGTGCAGAACAGATAGACTCTGTCACGACTTGTCATTCTTTTTCGTTTTTTCAACGCGTATCCATGGCGTTGAAACGCATATCATACCAATTTTGTAGCGATTTCCATTTGGGACAAGCTGTATGCAGCTGGTGATTGAAAATGGCCTAGAGTAGAATTTCGAAGCGACTAGTCATCACTTTGACGTAGAGGCTGGCTAGATCTGTCTGACAAAGAGAGTGTGGTTAGTGGTGGCCTTTTTGAAAAGGAAAGTATACTGTTGTTGTGGAATTATGAATCGCTGATTCTAAATTTGTCTTCTTCGTCTGCGAATCTTCCTGTACGAGGATTTGTGAGGTTTTATTAGAGTGAAAGTTTGAAGGGGGAAGTAGGCAAAAAATGTCCCGCTCAATTGGGGCAGTGATAATCAGCCAAGCACTTCATGCAATCTTATATATAAAGCTGAATGTCTGTTTGTCTGTATGTATGTGTGTATGTGTGTACGTATGTTCCGAATAGAAAATTCCATTTCTGAACCGATCCGGACCAAACTTGGCACACATACACTTCGGGCCCCGGCGGGTGTCATAGGCTACTTTTCGTCATCGATCGATATCGATTTTATCGATTTTTATCGATTTTTTTGCTGAGTTCAGCTACGGGGCTGGGAGTTGGCACAGGGGGGGTAATCGAGCATGGGGATTCCGAATACAATATTGGTTTTTCAGGATTATCGATTACTTTTATCGATTTTATCGATTTTTTTGCAAAGTTTGAGCTACGGGGCTGGGAGTTCGCACAGGGGGGTAATCGAGCATGGGGATTCCGAATACAATATTGGTTTTCGGGATTATCGATTACTTTTATCGATTTTATCGATTTTTTTGCAAAGTTTGAGCTAGGGGGCTGAGAGTTGGCACAGAGGGGTAATCGAGCATGCTGATCATCCCCAAGGGGGGTGATCAGCATGCTCGATTACACCCCTGTGCCAAATTCCAGCCCCCTAGCTCAAACTTTGCAAAAAAATCGATAAAATCGATAAAAGTAATGGACGATCCTGAAAACTAATATTGTGTTCGTAATCAGCATGCTCGATTACCCCCCTGTGCAAAATCCCAGCCTCGCATGTCAAAATTTACAAAAAATCGATAAAATCAATAAAAGTAATCGATAATCCTGAAAACTAATATTGTGTTCGTAATCAGCATGCTCGATTACCCCCCTGTGCAAAATCCCAGCCTCGCATGTCAAAATTTACAAAAAATCGATAAAATCAATAAAAGTAATCGATAATCCTGAAAACCAATATTGTATTCGGAATCCCCATGCTCGATTACCCTCCTGTGCCAACTCCCAGCCCCGTAGCTCAAACTTTGCAAAAAAATCGATAAAATCGATAAAAGTAATCGATAATTCTGAAAACTATTACTGTCTTCGGAATCCCTGTGCTCACTTCCCCCCCTGTGCCAACTCCTAGCCCTGTAGGTAAACTCTGCAAAAAAAATCGATAAAAATCGGTAAAATCGACATTGATCTATAACGAAAAGTGGACTGTGACACCCGCCGGGGCCCGAAGTGTATGTGTGCCAAGTTTGGTCCGGATACGGCGGAGCCGGGTAAGCCAGCTAGTAGATTATATAATTTACCCGCATTTATTGCCTCTTAGCGCTAGGAAAAATTTAGCTCAATTTTTTTGAAATTTACGTAATTCTTTGCTTATAAACGCTTATAACTCCTCATACATGAACGGTCCGCATATAAAGGAGACAGATTTGGAATTAACGTTTCATGTCCTTTAGCATGGTGTCCGTCCCATCCCTTGAAAGGCGACTTTGGCCAATCATCCTTCTTTTATAAGCCAATCTTATAGCAAGATCCAAACTTATACAGACAAGGTTTCAACAAAATTTGAGTTTTTAGGTATTTGCGAAGAATAGTGTATAAATATAATCTTCGCAAATTCAAATGACATTCGCGAAACCCCCGCTTTACCTAGTTTTTAAGAAGCGATGCGGACGATTTACCTTTACTGTAGCTTCCACCGCAACATCGATTGTCGAGTCGTTTGAAAAGCCATGTTGAAACGCAGAATTTCAGGGAGTCGCGAGCCTAGCGCGAGCAGTCCCCTTTATGGCCTATTTCAGTGCAGTTGTTTTTGCCGTAGAGAAGAATCATAAGAGACAGACAGTTTAGTAACTGGGTTTCTTAGAAAAATGAGTGGAGATCCAATCTGCCTTAGTTTGATGTGGCAACACCTTCGTGCTGTTTATTTGAACTTCCAATTTTCTTGATTGTAACATAATTCGATTTTTTCAATTTCAGAAAGAGCTACGTCAATATATGAAGGAGTGTATGAGATCGAAGAAAGTTAGGGCAGAGATAAAGAAAGCCGATCCAGCACTTTTCCAAGAACTTCTGCACGAACTCGATCTTCGAGATAAAAGTGAGTTAAATATCCACAGACAGTTGGGTGCAGCTGCGCATGCCTCTATGCTGCGACTTTGAATTGAATCATCAATTGCTCCTTCCTCTGACGCGCGTATTAGATGCGGTTGACAGATAGAATCCGGTTCCATGGATAATTCTTGACTAAACTTTCTCTTTGACACCTTCCTCAGTCCACATTGAGAAGTATACTCCTCACGGTGCGCCTCGCTCAGATTATGTGCCCTACAAAAACTTCAGGTTTTGAAGAGGTACGGCGGCAAACTAGGGAGTAAAACAGGGCAGGTATTTGAGTCGATGCCATCAGTAACAATGCACAAGGAATACTGGGTCATGTATTTTTGGCATCGAGTTGCAGCGTCGTTTCTCGTGAAATTTGGGCCAATCGTGCTTCCTGATCGTCTGCAGTGAGAAATTGCGCGCCAAAATTTTGATAGCTACATTTACGCGGGTTTTGTTGGACGAAATCCTTAATGAACTCGGAAGAAAATTGTATTGTATGACACATGATGAATGCAGCATCTTGTATCAGGGTAAGCTTCATCAAAGGGCATCTGTACCGCAAAGTCATATCTCTACCACATTGTAGATAGGGCTGTGTGTTAAGAGGCGCGATTACTAGTGCAAGCGGACATCAAATAGCATATAAACTACCCTTTGATTCAACTGGCTTGGCTTGGGAAGGCGGGGCTTTGTGGCCTAATTGAGACCGCTCGCGCCCGCGACGCACCTGCGTCTCTCGCGCGCGAGTGCTCTCTGATCATCACCTAGCCTTATTTAGGTCACGAAGCCCCGCCTTCCCAAGGCCAAGCCAGTTGAATCAAATGGTAGATACATTAACTCTTAACCTTCTACCCTTGTAATGCAACACAACTCGGACACTTGAATTGGTCAAGACCCCTGTCTTGACGCAATCGCCTATTATCTTGTATGGGCATACAGCGCAGTGGTTCAAAACTTTACGTCATGTGATCGATTACTTATCAAGTGCTTCTTGACGTTGTCATCCGAAATGTTTGCCACTACAACTTCATCATATAGTTGTGGCAAAGCACATCGTTTTGCTGAGCTGATTGCTCGAAGATGAACGGTTTGCGCAAGGGTATAGTCTGCCCCAATCCCAACCAGGCCAAAATTGGCATGGCGGAAGCCCGCGCCGCTAGGTCTTTGCGGTCACGCCTCTGCTCTCTCTTCAATCCTTTTGCCTTCTCCTTCAGATCGCGTGTGTAGCCATCATTGTGCATAGTTTTACCCAATAACTTGGGTTTTCAAAATATTTTTGTTCGTTTTCACATACATCCATGGCATAAGTACAACGTTTAATAGGCTCATGTTACTGCTGTCGGCTGTTCTGGGTTGTCGTGTACTATAATGTTCTTGGCTTTTCTCCGGCATCATTTTAACACTTTGACGACGAGCCATTTTTTTCTCAAGTCTGCCCCTGTGCATGAGATGTTTCCATGCACTTTTACGCGCGGCTGTTTGTATATATGCATACATCTCTGCGTAAAATACTGATATAATAGTGAGATATATTGATATACTGAATACAAATTCCGAAATTTTTGAAAAGTGGGCGGAGCTTGCCACTGAGGGGGCGTAGCCTTCGTGACGGGGGGCGAGGCCAAGATCAAAGCTGGAGGCTCCAGGAGTCATTTGCGACCTTTTCTTTGCGTTTTGGACACAAAAATGTTTCCTGCAGAAGGCAAATGAAGTGGGAGGAGTTTGCCAAAAAGGGGCAGCCAGCAAGAAAAATTAGTGGGCCTAAGTTGATTATGTGGACACAAATTACAGCAAGGGCACATAAAAATCAAAGATTAGAGTGCCGCGCACTATTGCGCGACACTGTCGTCAACGCGCTAAAGGCACCGTCCACCCAAATTGGGGTTGGTGAGATTATGATACCTAGCAGCTGCTGGCCTCCCACCTATATGATTGCCCAACTTGCGCTGCCTAAAGTTGCTTTCGAAGCGAGAAATTCGCTCCGAAATTTCTTTAGGTGACGGTTCGCCACGTTGAATCCTCCCCTTTTGGGTGGGCGTGACGTTCGTCCCGCCCATCCGTGCGCGCCCAACCAATCACCTTTTCGAAGAAATCTCTCTGCGAGTTCTGAAAACGGAGGTTTTTTGTGGTTTTCGCGGATTTCGATATTCGGAATCAGGAGTATGAGAAGGCCCTGGAACGGCAAAAACATGGAGGTCCTAAATTCTGTTGATCTGTTGTTTATCTTTATCTTTATCTTTATCTTTACACTCAAGGTGTACCATTTAAAATATGAAAACTGTTAGCGTGGGGCCAGTCGTCCTAGACATTCAAAGAACAACAAAGAAAGCTGGTACTTCGATAAGTTAAGCAAAAGAAAGTACGGGATAATGTACCCACAACAACGAAAAAAGATGCATTCAAATGCGAGTAAATTATACGACTATGAATAAAAATGTTGTTGAAGATCTTAACGAAATATATTATAGGTAGGTCATCAGTAATCCATCAAAATAGCGTTTGCATCTTTGTAAAAGTTAAAGAGACATTATCAGACCGAATGCAGTGTGCTTTGACCCGCCTTTTACAACTCCGTGCACAAAGTATCATGCGAATTAGTTATACAACTTGCCGCTCATGGGTGGTGCTGCGACTGGCTGCGCTTCAACTGTCTGATTTTACTTTGTGAACATATCTGCTTATTCGTATCTTACAGAATATGAGGTCCTTTGAATTTAAAGGCAATACCTTGACAGGTATTCTTCCATATAGTTCCTGTCGTTCTTGGTTTTTCCGGAAGCGCTGTGTCCGGAACTGTGCCTTAAATTTTTAAACAAATTAATTAATCAACAATTAATCTCATTGTGAAATGGGCCTACATAGGTATGTCAGATGATCACCATTACTGTAGCTGTCAGCTGAATCTCTCCAGTTCTGCCTAGACGCTGCTTTTGCGACTAGTTATTTGTTTTCTTTATCTTAATCTTAAATCAAGTATTTTTCGTGTTTTTGTCTTCATAAATTTCAATGCAAGTTGATTACAGGACCTACTGTCGTTTTCTTTGAGATTGTAGATTTGATTGTGATGTGACTTGAAACCTCTTCCATATTTGTTTTTGTATAATCTCATTTGTCAGAGATTCCTTTGTGGTTTTCGCCACCAGCTACATTCAGCCATCTCACTAGCAAAGTGGTAGTGGTTCATTCACATAGTTCGCATCAATTTCTGCCTCCGGAGATTTTGGTAAGTACCAATGTCGATTTTGATTCTTCTTGATTCTGATCTTTTAGAGTTTGAGTCATCATGTGTATGTGTGTGTGTTGTGTGCGTGTGTATGTGTGTTATTGCATCCAATATCCCATTATTGCAGTGCAGCGGTGATATTCTATATTACGATAACAAGTATTGAATTTCTGCTTTGTTGAATTCAGCCATCTGCATCATCCTGATCGTACTTATGTGTCGTAGTGCTTGTCCCTTGTACCAATGTTTTCAGTAAGTTCAGTAAGTCCTTTTTTTGGTAAATTGCTAACTCACCCCATCTCCAACACTAGTCGAGTTGGAATGGCTTGCCAAGACTCTGCCCTATCCAGCGCTTAAAGTTGACGATTAGCAGTTGTAAGCATCTATCTCTATCGAATTAAATGAGCACAAGCTGTTTGTTGTACTACTTATTCTTTCTTTTGTCCCCTCTATCCACAAATTCTAAGAAAAACGCCCTGTTTTTATTATTCATTGTGTTCCAGAAATGACCGTTTATGTAATTCACTCAGCACTGTCAGTTACTTTGTTATGGTGTCTCATGTTGGAATCGTCTGTATCGTTGTCTTTCTGCGTGTATATGAATAATAAAAACTTGGAGGAAACCATTGCTTGTCTGTGTGCATTCAAACAACGTTGGCATTGACCGTAAAGAGTTGAAGCTGCCGTTTCGCTACCATTATTTTTATGTGGTAAATGCAGAGAAACCTTTCTGCAGCGCGGAATTTTGAGAAAGAATACATAATTCTTTCGCCTTTTGAGGATGGTATTCTAGCTAGATTTTGCGTGTTTCAATAAGTGCTTTCACGAAAAATGATTTTCACTTCAAGATTCCAGGTCAAGCCGACATGATTTCACATCTTTTTTTGACAGTAGTGAGGTTATACTCCATTTTAGTCTGTTAATGGGAGTCTTCAGAGCCGCACTTTAATCATTTCTACGGTATATCCCCGCCTTCGTTTAGACTGTGTATTGAGCACATTCTTTTTTCCTATTGAACCAGAATTGAAATTTACATTTTCTTAGATTAGAGATCATTATCAGACTCATCCTCAGTTGAGTTTTGAGGCCTTGTTTATGTACGTTAATCGACATGCTTTACATGTCACGAATTCACAAAAAGGCCCTCTTATAAGCCAACAATAGTATAATCAGGTTCGGCTTTGGCGCACACAAATTCGCAATTTGAAACGTGTAACATCACTATGCTTATTCTCTCACAATCAGTAAGGCCGACTCATGATGCTTTGTCGATAGTCGTAGGCATCAGTGATGGGTTTCGCAGAAGCAGGTGGTCTATCAGTTATTTGGGTATGTTTATTACATTTCATTATTAGAACATGATAACGGAAGACATTATCTATTTTCATAGAAAGTGTGCTCACATTCTAAAAGTGTGTATTGGAAGCGTCTTTTTCTTGATTTTCCTCGGTTTCTTTTCTTTCCTTACTCGTCCTCTACTCTCAACTCCTTCTTCATCTTCCATTATTGGCGCTGGAGTTTCAGAAATCTCGACGCCTTCAACTGCATGATCAGCATCGTATGGCGTCGCATAGGTGAGCATGTATCTAGAAAAAACATTAATCTGGTTAGGAAAGGGATGCAAAAGTGCTTAGCGCTTACTTTCCATCGATCTCCACCTTACAGACCAAATCCCCTGCAAAATGCACATTTTGGGCAAAATCCGACAATGCAACAATGCTTTCGAATGGGTGCCCAAACATCTGTTCGCTTTTTTGCTGCAATATTGCAAAATAATCCTCATTTTCGTTATAGTGGGGCATATTGCTGTTAGTCAATGCTCACCTGCATAATGTTTGCCATTTTTGCTATATTACAAGCACTAAACCCCTGCACGGCTTTGATTTCTTCAAAAGTGTCTTCTATCAAATTGTTCAGCTGCAGATTGCAACAGACATAGCCTACAATGCGAAATTAAGTCAGCGATGTTTCTGGGAAAAATTTACCGGATGGGTTATAGAAGCACGTTGGTAGAGGAACCATGACTTTAGGCGGATAGTAGTACTTGGCATTTGGAGCGTCTCTCAAGCTAGCCATGATTTTGTCTGTACGTATCTGGTAATCATAATGTTAACGACGATTGCACCACTCAGTCGCACATCGATCTTACATTGGTGTCTTCCCCTCCTATTTTGAAGGAAGCGTTCATAGGCAGGATTTCACCACCTTCCAAATTTTTGTCTTCGATTGCCTGTTCGCCATCAGTCTTCGTCTTCGATTTCTTTCCTTTAGTAGTCTAAAATGAGCACTCCAGGCTCTTAGTCGCTAGGAATTTTTCCTGGTACAACGAGAAGAACTGTTTGGAATTTTTTGAAAATATATGCACTAATAGTGTAAAAATTCGAAGCTTTTCTGATCTGAACAGAACAAACAACGATGTGACGGTGTTTCTTCTGTGTTCAGCTCAGTTGCTTGACCGCGCTCCGACTGCGCGCAAGTCTACATGCGGTGACTTTAGGTATGCAGTAATTCAAATGGCCCTACACTTTTGAAAAGACAGTATATTAGGTTGTAAAGAAAGTTCCGGGGTACTTGCGGATTTTTTTTTTCAAATCGCTGTAACTTCGAGCAGATTGATCCTTTTTCAGAACTACAAATTTCATTGCAAAGAGAATTTGGTCTACAACATATATTTGTCGTGCTGGCTTTTCAGCACCTCATAGTGGTCCACTAGCATGCGCAGAAGGGAGAAAGGTCGACGCGGAAAGTGGCCTATTTGTGCAGGATTATGTCAGGCAGGATAACAGCTGAAGATCCCAGATGCTGTAGTTATATAGAATTCGCTGGGGCTGTTATGAGGACCATTCATGTCTTTAAGGGGCCACTTGCAAAAATTTTTTTTAATGTATGAAAAATCGACCACGTTTTGCCCCCAAAATGCACCATTTTTCGAGTATTTGAGTTCAAAGTCTTCTCGTTCTGCACAGGGCGGACCAAATCTTTGGTTACTGCGAATGTTGCTGGGGTAATGTCTTACACATTTTTTGGACCCATCACCCAGGCGCGGCGATCCCTGCAGAAGCTCAGCTGCGACAAGAGTCGCAGTTAGAGGCAAGTTCGACAGCTTGTAATTTCTGAGTACAGATCGTAAAACTGGAGTGCAGCTGCGGGTCAGAAGTTAAGAGGTTCCTCAATCAGACCGCTCACGATTTGGACGAAATTCCTTGAATTGCACAGAAAAATGGGAGCAGGAAGAAAAATTGCGAAATTTTTATGATTGGAAAAAATTCCTTCGTTGATGTGCAGGTCAAATACGTCTTGGCATCAATAGAAATCAGAAGCGGTATTAAAAAGTTTACGCTTCGCTTTACTGAACACTTTACAACATCTGGTGTCAAAGTCCGACCGAGCGCTAAAAAAATGAAATTTTCAAAAGTGCCCCGGAACTTTCTTTACAACCCAATATTTCAAAAAACATTGGTAGGAGAGCAGATGTAAACAAAAGTGTTAACGCTCGCGCGATTGCGCCAGCTTTTGGCGGGAATTGCATTTACCCCTAGCAGCTGGCATCCCTCGCCTCGCTTGGACTCTGCACCTCTTTCGCAAACGTGCTCTCTGATCAGCTTCCTAAAGCTGAACATGAGAAAGACTGAGCTTCAACCGATTAAGCATGGAAAAATGATCAGAGAGATGTTTGCGATAAAATTGCAGATCTGAGGCGAAGCGGTCCTGCGAGATTCGATTCGCTGCAGTTGGACTCACTCCAACTGAAACAGGGGTTGGCAAGAGAGTGGCAAATATCAGGCTGGAAGTCGTTCTATATGAAAAAGGAAAGGGGCAATCGTAATCACAATTCGTACGCACTATATACCCTTTGCAATTAGACATGCTTAGCCCCATGAAGATCAGTTTTTCGTAGGACTGACGTGCTCAAACATGATCGTGCTCAGACGCCATTTTGAAAACTAAGTTCCTTTGCACAAAGCAGAAAACAAATGATTTGGTTACGTTGCACACATTATGCTACTAATTTTGGTATGTAGACGAACAACGGTTGAGAGGAACAAAATGAGGAAAGCTGTGGAAAAAGTATGTGATTGAAAGGTGTAGTAAGCTTTTTTTGATAATTTCCCAGTGGCAAAAAAATGGAAAAAATGACTCGTTTGCAGCGCACAGATGATGATATGACAGAAAATTTGGTTTGTATACGCGCAGTAGGACTAAGGAACAAAGTATGAAAAATTGTGAAAAACTCGTTTGATGAAGGCGCGTTTGACGTTTTTTGAAATGGTGGGCAATCCCACCTAATGCCTATAATGCCGACACGAGGCGAGCAAAACTTCCGCTTCATATAACTTTTTCCTACATAACTCTGTTCTACAGCTGAAGTTTACTATACATTAGCATTTTGAATTCAGAACTCCTCCTCTTTGCTAGAGTCTGAAACGGCAAATGAGTAACGGTTTTGAAGGAGGTTCCAATCAAACAGCCTATACAGTTGGCACTGTTGAGGGAGAAATCGGAAAAAAGTGGCAAAGGCGTATATGTTTCACGGTATCCACTTTGCCATTCTTGCGCCGGGGCCTGCAGTTGAGATCAAGAGCATGAATTGAAACTGCTTGGGGCAAATATAGACGTGACTACAATTTCTCTAGTAACGAAAAGAGAAACTTTTCTCTGATATTAATGAAAAACTTATTTAAAGGGGTTCTCACCTTTATCTTCTTCCTAGTCCCCGCTGTACTTGTCTCGACCATATCCACCACTTCCTCCACTGCTGATGCCGCTGTGTTGTTTTGCACCTCTTCCTCTGCTGCAATCTCTTCCTCTTCATCTTCTTTCATCTCCTCATCTTCCTCCTCTGCTTTTAGCTCTTCCTTGCTGTCGGATTTTCCCTTGTTTGGCTTTTTGATGCTCACTACAGTCTTCTTCGTATGTTTCACTACAGTCTGCAGAACAGGTTTCTCCTCGGGTATATCAGTGACCAGCTGTGCTCCTGCTCCTCTCGGTTCTTCATCAAGGCTCTCTGCCACTTCCTCTTCTATTTTCTTCACTAGTTTCATTTTCAATTTAGTTTCAGGCTTCTCCTCTTCTCGTGTTTCTTCATCTTCTACATCTTGTTTTTGGGAACTTTTAGTTGTTGTAGTATCAGCTTCTTCATTAGTGGAGACTACCACTTTAGTTGTTTTGATCTTCTTCACTTTTTTCTTGCCTTTCTCACCCTTCACTGCTTTCCCTTCTTTGTTGTCATCATCTGTCTTCTTCGCCATCAATCTTTCCAGACGTCTTTTTGCCTTCATCTCTCTTTCAATTGTTTTGATCGTATCCGAGTTGAGTTCAGTAAGTTCCGTAGATGGATTCTCTTCTTCATTACCTCCTTGAGCTTTTCTCATTCTCAATGCTTCCTCTCGCTGCGCTTTGATAGCCGCACGAAAAGCATCGTTGGAGGATAAAGTGGTTGGCTCCATCTCTTCATCCTCGGCTACAGCGACTGATGCACGAGTTGTCGTCTTCACTGCATCTTCTTCCTCAGAAGATTCTTCTTCGCTTGATTTAGTTGCTGATATGGTGGTCGTGGGCATGCTAGTCGCTTCAAAACGAGTTGTTCTAACACTGCGCATCACAGCTAGAGCTGATTCGAATTCTTCATTCTCTTCATCATCTCCGAAATCGCCATCATCAACTTCCGGATCGGCTCCAACCAAAATGCGTCGTCTTCGTGTAGTAGTTTTAATACTTGTCGATGCCTGGCTCGCAGTCGTGGCAGTTGTCTGCGTTGTCGTTGACGGGGTAACGGATACTGTAGCTACTAACACCATCCCTTGTGTTGTCTGTGTAGTACTTGCGAGCGTGGTAGGCACCGTACCGGACATTGTCATTCCTAGTGGGATTGTCATTATTGGTGGTGTTGCAGAGGGTGGCATTGGTCCTCTTCCAGTCACAGTACTTCTAGCTACAGCATTGGGAAGGTCATCATCATCATCCAGATTGTAGTCATCCATTTCGGAACCCTAAAGATATTTATTTTGAATTTATGTGCTTTGTAAATGTACGAATATAAAAGTCGAAAACCATCATCATTTTATCAATCATCATTTTATCATCATTTTTTCGATTTATACAAAATTATCATTTTTTATAAATCGAAAATGAAAAGCAAGGGTTGATCGGAAATGTCGACTTCCCTCGGTATTAGATCGCAAAATTAGGTTGTTCAAGTGACTCGAGAAATGGTGTAGTAATCCATTCTTGGGCAAAAATTTTAAATTTATTTTTGAAAACTTTGAATATCGTTGACTTTTCAAGAAATTCTTGAAAGCGACTTACTTCTTCAGTCTCAATCTCAAAACTTACTGTGGGATAGTAGCCTTTGATTTTTGGCCTCCTCACAGTGTTGCGCCGGGAACTTGGGGGAATTTATTTGTGAAATAGTTCTGTTCACAACCGCAAACATATAGAATTCTTTCATTTTGCTTGAAATTTATTCGGTTTTGCCCCTAAAAATTTGGAGAGTATTCCCAAAATTTTTCGGAAGGCGCTACCTCCTTCGCCTCCAATTTTTCCTTCCCCTAATCTCCGAAAAAAGAATTCTTGGACCAGCACCGACTAGCACTACTGACTTATCCATTTCATAACCAAATTCACATTTTTTACTGAGTATAATCAAGCTCTTGATGTAATGGTTAGACTTCCTACATGAATACTGTATCTTTGAAACACGAAAACAACTCACTATAGGTTTCAGACTTTCCTCGATACTGTTGAAACGGTCTTTGGTGCTATTTCCCGCTTTTTTTGATGGTACTGAGGTTGAAGCTATGAACTCTCTCGCCATCAAAGTAGTCAAGGTGGTCATGTTGGTTTCACTTGCTCCAGTTGACGTTTGTTCCTGATTTGTCAACACTCGAAGCAGCATTGATGCATTATTAGCGAAAGCATTATCATTAAGTAGGTTGTCTACAATTCCGCTGGCGATTTCTTTGCTGGATAGATCCTCCGCAACTTCCGCTGTCTCCTTGGTGGTCTCTACCTTAGTAATTTTTATATCTGGTTGTGATATTACTTGGCCGTTGATGATCTCATCCCTGTTGGAGAGAGAAATCACTTTTGGCCTTGCTATTTGTTTCATGTGTCGTGTTAGGCTTTCAATGATTTTTCGCGTTTTCATTTGATTGTTTTCAGTATTGGCCGTTGGGCCAACGGGTTCGAGCACTTCAGCACTTTCAACCTGAAATATTTTGTGCTGGTTATGAGTGATGTTGAAACAAACCTACCTTTATCACTCGGATAGGTTCTACTGGTGAGCGGTTGTCAAATTCATCACCAGCAACGGCCCTTTCGAACGAATCAATTGGATCTTGATTGAGAGCCTATAAAGAAATCAGCGTATCTATTTCCTATCAAAATGCTAAGTCTTCTTGTGCAAAGTTCTTTTTTTTTCGTTGCTGAAGAAAAAGAAACATCCTGAGGAATTGAAATAGGTGATATTGAACTTTGTGTTTGAAAGCGAATGCGATTTGATTTGCGAGTTATAAAAACCGTAAAATAGGGAAAATGAGAAACAAAAAAAATGAGAAAATGAGAAACACATGGATGACGTGAATTTGATCAGCGCTGCCGTTAATGTGACTTTTCTGCACCACAAGAGCACAGCTCTGGGCGAGTTCTGAATGAAGCAAGTAAAAGGATTGCAAACATTGGTCTGCCTATTGGGAAGTTTGGAAAATTTTTTCTGAAGGTCATAATTTTATAATGTTCAAAGAATGACTCCAAGTTCACCTGCATCTTTCGGAATTATTTAGGTACTTAAGTTAACATCGTATTCTTACAAAAGCGATTCTGATTAGTTATCGTCGAGTCATTTATAACTTAATATATGAGCCTGCACACAAAGCGTTTCAACGGACGGCACCTTTGTCGGTAAATCCTAGATAAACTTTTTCTAGCGTAACATAGTGTGAAGGTGCATACTACTAACTACCCAATCGGACCAAAGGAGACAAGAAAACAAGAAATTACTGGAGATCTCATAGGTTCGTCAAATAGCGCACATGGTGTGCAGTACGCATATTAAGTTACGAATGACTCGAGGTTAGTTAACTTTTATGATGAGTCTCACAAAAGCAAATTAGACCCATTATCTAAGCGTTGCAGAGATTAAACACAACGACGAACAATATCAGCGACAGATCCGCAGAAAGACCCGTTACCTATTGGAAATTCAGCTTGGTTCAAGAGATTTGAGACGAGAGATACAAGCATTGAAGGTAAACAGCGGTCTGGACGGCCTTCGCTCTTGGATGAAGAGAAATTGCGTGATCCAGTGAAAGCCAGTCTGGGTGATACTACCACGCGTTGGCGCAGACACTTCACTGCTCTCATAATTCCTGTAGCAGGTCACCTTGCCCTTGGCTGCCGGAAAAAATTTTTTTCTCGATAGGTACAGACCGTCTCAGTGAAACGAACAAGGTGTGCTGCGTGAGCACCGTCGGTTGCTGCTCTTTTCCCCCCAGGAAATAGTTGCTCAAAGATTTAGTTAAAGGGGCAAAAAAGCTGGGTGATGGGAGAGAATAACACTATGATACTTCTTGAATTCGCGTGGAGAAGGGCCAAACAGCCAAGACTTGAGTCCCACCATCACAAGATCTTGCTCTGCTGCTCGTGGGACGCCAAGGGACTTTACACATGCTTTCTCTGGCGCAAAGACACACTCAGACAGCCGATCGGACCCCTCCGGCGCAGAAATGGCAGGGCCGCGGGGGTTCTCCAGCGGTGGGTCTGCCACTCGTGCGCCGGAGCCCCCCGATTTTGTGCGCCGGAGAACTCCTATTTATGCTCGGGAGTCCTCCCATTTTGTGCTCCGGAAACCTCCCATTTTGTGCTCCGGAGACCTCCCATTTTGTGCTCCGGAGACCTCCCATTTCTGCTCCGGAGCCCTCCCATTTTGTGCTCCGAAGCCCTCCCATTTTGTGATCCGGAGCCCTCCCATTTGTGCTCCGGAGACCTCCCATTTGTGCTCCGGAGCCCTCCGATTTTCTGCGCCGCGGCTCGTCCAAATCTGGCGGACTCGCGGCGGGCAAATCTCTGCGCCGCGACTCCAGCAAATCTGGCGTACTTGCGACGGAGCGATTTGCAAGCCCGCCGGAGGGGTCCGATCTGCCTTCTTTGTGACGTCACAAGAAAGGACCGCCCCCCTCGCCCCGCTCTCATTGGTCAACTGGGTCCGCCGCGACTCTCGCAGATTTCGACTGTCCGCCGGAGGGGTCCGATTGATTGTCTGAGCAGCTACCAAATAAGTATGAGCTCTAGGGTTTAGCTGAAGCGTACAAGAAAAGTCGAAAAGAGCAACAGTGCACATTGCTCGACGGCAATGCCAGAGCACATGTGACAAGCGAGACCCAGTACAAATTGGAGAAACTTGGCTGGGATACGGTGCCATACCCTCCGTACTGGCCAGATACAGCACCATTCGATTACTTTGTTCCGACACCTGAAGCTTCATCTGAGCAAGAAATTCTTCGCCAAGTTCAACGGCTCAAAGCAAAGCTTTGCAGCATCTTTGAGTCGCGAACTGACCGAGTTCTGAAAGAAGAGCATACGTAATCTGCTCTCCCGATGGGTTAATGCTGGCACACACAGTGAATATTTTGATAATTGAAAGTCATTGATGATGAGTATGTTTGGAAAATCAAGTTGCTTTAGTTTAATGACAGAATTTTGAACACATTAGTGCCAACTATTTGACGTTTCTTAGATGTGCGCTGATTGAGGGTGGAGTTAGGTAATAGTAGAAGATGTGTCTCATTGTGCAGCTTTCATTAAGTTTTTATATGATAAGATAAGCATGTTACAAAGGTTTTTATCAAATTCAATTCAATGGAGTACTCACCAAGCTCACGCCACGCATTCTCTTACGCATCCTCGGCTGATGTCCGCGTTTAACAACTCCACTAACTTGGAACTGAAAATCATACAACCAACTTCTTGATTTCAGAAGTAGACAAATCTTTTTACAAATCTCACTGATTGCTGTGACTGCACAGGATTTGACGGAAACTGAGATACTGGATGAGGTGACCGCTGTAGTTGAGCTGACGATGGCCACAGATTAGGCGTCATCGCTGATCTTCCAAAGGTCTGCGAAACATCGCTGCCTTGGCTTCGATGTATATCTCTTCCTCCGCGAATTGCATGTGTCCGCTCAAGATCGACTTTTTATGCTCTCAGGAGTTCATCAACGAAAGGAAAAAAGAATAAGACCTCACATAAGGTTTTACTCGAGCGCCTCGTATCTCGTACTGCTCTGTTTTTAGTCGTGCACATGAACCATCTCTATCACCTGAAAAGGATTTGTTAATGAATATTGACGCTTTCCTTAACTTCGCACTTTCAGACCTCCATTTATAATCATTATATTAGGTTGATGCATAATTCCTGCACCAAAATAGGAACAGACCGCAATAATCCGCAATAATCCTATATCCCAAATAGGATTTGATATATCATTAGATAGAGCAAACATAGCTCCACAAGATAGTGCTTAAAGATTTGCAGCACTCTGATCCAAGCGAAGGTTGAAGCCAAAAACGAAAACGATCCAAGCGCCCCAAAAAACCAAGAAAAAATTGGAAGTCCGTTCAAAAAAATCCTTCAAAATTCCAAACTTGCTCATGCATTGTCATTTCGTATAAGACATCTCTCTATGCAGTCGGTGTATTTTTTCTCTCAGCTAGAACTTGAGAAAACGAAGTTTTTCATGTTTTTTCCAAGACAATGCTGAGATGTTCTAGCACTGACAGTTGTATAAAGGATATCGTCGACGACCGCCCCGTTTCGTGCATTTACACCACCGTAGGCGTGCTTTTTTGGATCCTTTCCAGCTTGACAGTACGCTGCAGCGCGCGGGGACTTGGTAGCTCGCAGCATCCCTGTTCTTTAACCTCTTTTGTTGATTCAAGCATTTTACATCGTTTTTTCTTCTTATTTTCATTTCAGACAATCAGCCATTCTAGTGTCTATGTGACATCGCCGCGAACAAGGTAGAGAAAACAATAACCTTCTTCGTAGTTGCAGTGGTGGATATCATGGCTATGTTTGGGATTGCATGTTTACAATGTTTTGTAATTATTTGACATGTTTACTAAGACAGACAACTGAATTGATTACTTCAGCACTCCTACATCTGGGACACCATGTAGGAGTGCTGAAATAGACATTAGAGTAGCCTTCATCTAAGGAAATTCCATGATTCCGTGATTCCCACCACTGCTTATGAACAAAGCACACCCTTTCACCCAATTTCGCCCGCGGCGATGGTTCACGCTTTGAAAAGAATGGGTAAAAAGGGTGAGGAATTCAAGAATTGTGTTTAAACAAATTTTTCCTTACTTTTCAGTACTCATTAGAGTAGAACGTAAGATAATAATCGAACATATAGAGAACCTAACAGTAAGGGAAAACGTATGGCTAACTGAAATACGAAAACTAAGAAGAAAAAAATCATGTGAGATACTTAAATCAACAAAAGAGGCTAAAGGGGAGTGTCTTCTGCGAGCTACGAAGTCCCGTCGCGCTGCAGCTTACTGTCAAGCTGGAAAGGCTCCAAGAAGGCAATCCCACGGTGGTGTAATTGCACGAATCGGGGCTGTCGTCGATGAATATCCTTTACTATAGGCCTTAAAAGCGTGAGTGTCAATTTTCAGCTCTTTACAGCAGCTGGTTTACGAGAAATATCGAATTTTTAGCAACTAGGCAAGAAAAATTCGGTTAAGGAGATCTAGATCCGTCATTTCTCGTAAACTAGCTGTTCTAAAAGGCTGAAAATGTAAAGTTTTACTGCTAACGGTATGTACTATACAATTGTTAGTGCTAGAACATCTCAGCACTAATTTGGCAAAAACACGAAAAACTTCGTTTTCTCATCGTCTAGCTGAGAAAAAAATCCAGCAACCGCCTAGACAAGTGTCTACGCGTGAGCAAGAAAGAAATTTTGTAGGAGCTTTTTGAACGAAGTTACAATTTTGTTTTGATTGGTCTTAAGGACGCATAATTTTTTTCAGTTTTCGGCTCAAAACTTCGCGTAGATCAGAGCTGGTGCAGATATTTGAGCGCTGTCTTGTAGAGCTAGGTTTGCTCTATCTGATGATATAATGGAATCCTATTTGGAATATAGGATTATTCCAGATTATTGCGGCCTGTACCTATTTTGGTGCAGGATTATGCACTAACCTAATATCTTTGTAAAAATGTCACATCATGAGTTATTGGAAAGAGTTTAAATAGTTGGTGGAGGTGGTTGATTCGATTGGGAAAGAAAGCAAAAGACGAAACATTGTTTTCATTTTCATTCAATACGCTCAAAATGTTCCGTATATAGCAATGAAAACTGTAAATTATATACTTAACGCAATCGAAATGTAAACTCAAGCACAAACTCATCATGTGGTTCCGTGAAAACCTTATGATCCAGGTATGGGCATTCGTAATGTAAATGCAGTCAAAATCGAGGTTATCATTTACGGAAATGAAATGCCCCTATCTCGCCAGTAAAACGATTCTGAGCATTCAAACTAACAAATGGGGGTTCAGATAGCGCATCTAGCGAATCGTATTCAATAATGTTACCAGTGAGAGGCCAAAACCGCGAGAGAATTGCAAAGGTTGCGGTAGGGGAGAAACTGCTGCGTCATGCACATATCAAAATTGAAGTATTGTAATCTACGGAGATTATATGATGGAGTGTTACGAAATTGTGACTCACTGGCACACAATATGATATTATCTCGATCCAAAAAACTTTTATGATTTTTTATGTTTATTCATTCGATATAAGGTACATCAAACAGAATCGATTAAATTCAATACTACGAAATACGCCTGGAAATGAAATTTAGTTCAGGTAAGAAGTAGCTTCCTATTCTTCTCAAAAGATACGAAATGTGAAAGAATACGCGTTTCTATTTTAGTACGTTTGAATAGAACTTCGGTGCTGATTATAGTGGGCCAGAAAATTGGCCATGGTGCTCAGAGCTTGAGAGTATGCGCTACACAAGGTGTCCCAAAAGTGCCTGTTATCTGAATGTAATTAATTCTTGTCATAAAGCCTTTAGAGAAGCATCATGTACTATTGTAGAGCTGGTTTCGATTTATAATCATTGATCGCTCTTCATTACTGCAGGATTAAGGTAGGAATTTCGAAGAGGGCTTTGAACTTTGGAGGGTCATATTTTAGCTCACAAAGAAAACGCCTGAAAATCGTCACATTAGACTGATTAGAGCTGCTGGTTTCAAACGATCCTTACTGAAGAGTTGCGCGGAGGGCCTAGAAACAACACAATACTCCGTCTAAGGATAGGAACGAAACGGAGTTCTCAGATTATTACTGTAATAAACATTATTTATTATTTATTATTATTATTACTATAAAGTTTGCATTTCATCATAATGCTTCATTAGAAGTTATATCAGGTAAATAGTTAAAGCCGTTTTTTCAATTTTGCCAAAAATTCGGTTAAACCGTTCAAAAAGCTTCACATTCTTGTATCAAGCTGAGTGTTGAATTCGGCTTCTATGACAAGCCTATTACACAAGTTATCGGATCTTTTCTGAAATCGATTATAGTGGCAGCTCTTTACGCCATATGCCGAAAATTTCTACCGCAATCTTACAGTAATGCAGATCAATCATTTTTTTTTCAGAAGTTTTGAAGATGATATCTATTTTAGATGCCCCTTTGAGAATTAAACGAAAAGACGCAAAAAAAGTTGACAGAATCACACTTTATTTTTTTCTCTCGCCGTTCTTTATCGACCGAGCCCTTCTCACTCCTTACACTGGCTTGGAGCAACAAGAAAGCTAATTACCAGACATACTGACAAACTCCAAAGGGAATTATTTCTCAGAAACGATGTTCTGCGGAGAATATTTTTGTTCTCTCATCCATGGTTTTCTGCGCATTCGTATATCAACAACAATACATTGCGCTAGCGAGAAGTTCACATCAATGAGTCAAGTTTCTCTGTTTGGAGAAGATCCTCAATTTCTTTGCAAATTATATAAATTACAGATTTGCTATCATAAATTACATTAGCAAAGTCAGGACCTTCAAAACAACGAACCATGCGCTTTTTCACAGAAGAATAAACAGCGTCCAAAGTACACTAACAAATTCAGCTTTTCGGCAAGCGAACTTCAATTTCAATTGTGCAACAAACCTGGTAAGCATTGTGGGTTGACTAGAAGTGGCTGGATTAATACAAGAATCAGTAACCGCATCAGATGTGGTTCTGATGTTAAACTATTGCGAACTATCAGCTCGCCTGTCAGTAATCAAATTAGCATTAGAAAGCGAGACGAACCGGAGAGGGCGGCTCGAGGGCAACGACGAGAACGCGGATAACTCATATCGAAGAACCTGTAGCGATTACGGCGGTCATCTCGCCTATGCTTGATATGTGATCGTAAGCACGCGCGAAGAACGATGGTTCGCTCAGGATAGGCTGTCCTGTCAAAGACGATTAGTGATCTTATCCAAGAGTCGTGACAGATTTGTTGCTTGTAGCCGACCGCACGCGCAGAGGGACTATGGTTTTACAGTAACACGCTGAATAGTATGTGCCGAGAATGATAAGATTATAAAAATGTGAAGATGTTAGTTTTATCTCTATCTAGAACTTAGTTTGTAAAGATAAAAATACAACGTAAGCATTACAAGTAAGCGTTTAACAGGTTGTTTATCTTTGTTTTGTCTCGTACATTCTAGATGCCTTCTAAAAGAACTAATCAAAAAAATCTTATATATAAAGCTGAATGTCTGTTTGTCTGTCTGTATGTCTGTCTGTATGTCTGTCTGTCTGTCTGTGTGTACGTATGTTCCGAATAGAAAATTCCATTTCTGAACCGATCCGGACCAAACTTGGCACACATACACTACGGGCCCCGGCGGGTGTCATAGGCTACTTTTCGTCATCGATCGATATCGATTTTATCGATTTTTATCGATTTTTTTGCTGAGTTCACCTACGGGGCTGGGAGTTGGCACAGGGGGGTAATCGAGCATGGGGATTCCGAATACAATATTGGTTTTCGGGATTATCGATTACTTTTATCGATTTTATCGATTTTTTTTGCAAAGTTTGAGCTACGGGGCTGGGAGTTCGCACAGGGGGGTAATCGAGCATGGGGATTCCGAATACAATATTGGTTTTCGGGATTATCGATTACTTTTATCGATTTTATCGATTTTTTTGCAAAGTTTGAGCTAGGGGGCTGGGAGTTGGCACAGGGGGGTAATCGAGCATGCTGATCATCCCCAAGGGGGGTGATCAGCATGCTCGATTACACCCCTGTGCCAAATTCCAGCCCCTAGCTCAAATTTTCAAAAAATCGATAAAATCGATAAAAGTAATGGACGATCTTGAAAACTAATATTGTGTTCGTAATCAGCATGCTCGATCACCCCCCTGTGCAAAATCCCAGCCTCGCATGTCAAAATTTACAAAAAATCGATAAAATCAATAAAAGTAATCGATAATTCTGAAAACTAATATTGTATTCGGAATCCCCATGCTCACTTCCCCCCTGTGCCAACTCCTAGCCCTGTAGGTGAACTCTGCAAAAAAATCGATAAAAATCGGTAAAATCGACATCGATCGATAACGAAAAGTGGACTGTGACACCCGCCGGGGCCCGAAGTGTATGTGTGCCAAGTTTGGTCCGGATACGGCGGAGCCGGGTAAGCCAGCTAGTAATCAATAAGATCAATGGTAAGAATTGAAATCATTAAGTCATTGAAACCAAATCGATCACTATTCATGAACTGACTACAGAAGCTTCTGTCAAACCTAACAAAATCTGACCCAGGCTCTAGAGATGGAATAAGAAAAGAGTGGAACAAAAAAGAGGTCTATAAGTTGCCAATATAGCGATCCATCCTTGGATCCGTTTGCCGTTAAGGAATCATAGATAAGCATAAGTCAAAATAAGAAATCAGGGGAAAAAAGAAGCATACGGTGTAACTGGTTTCGTGATGAAATGTAATAGACCTGCTCACATAATCACAAAGGACAATTTCATGGTTAAGCACCTATCATGTCTGCTCCCAAGTTCTTACTAATGCTCCCATCGCAAACAGTTAGAAGCACATTTTAGCCAATTTATTTCTATCTGCAAACATTACTAGAAACTGGCCTCATAATTATTGATTACGTACACGCGAAGCTGTAAAGTATTCTTTGAGTAGCACTGCAGTTAGACTACTCTGTCACTTGTGGCTAAACCGCAGGTAAGAATAATAAGTTTGATCCCTTTGAAACTAAGCCCTTGTGTCCATCAACTCTCTAAGAAGGGATTCTTAAAGAGGACACAAGGACTTAGTTTCAAAGGGACCAGGTAGTTAGTGAATGGAAATAAGGACGCGGCAAGAAGGTGGCAGGAAAAGCAAAGGAGATATCGTAGATACTCATCTACATGCATTAGTATCTAGGGCCCCCATTAGGTTGCTTTGAGGTTTCGAAATTGAGTTCTTCAGCGCTTTCACATGTTTTCACGAAGTCTCCTTTAACTAGTTTCCGAATAATCTTTACACTTCAATCCAAACGTTATGCAAAAGACAAACATCGTATTATAGGCTGTACTCCTTTTCTTTTTGTCTTTACCTTGTTCTGCGCAAGCAGGGTCGACAGTGTTGCACTCTGACTTCTCACTCTATCGGCTGCTTCTGATCATGTGAGGTTTGCCATGTGCATGTCGTTCTGAATTGGGACCAGCCGATGTTGCTTCGGCCAGCTGCGAGTCTTCTTCTCTGTGAATCTGAACGAACTGACGTTTTTGCTACTGCATTCTCGCAATTCGTAAAAAGTGATCAAATTCTGTTACTGTTTAGAATGCAGAAAAGATTGAGAGGCATGCTTTGGATTGGCCTTTTCACAGGAGAATAGGTCTTCTAGAACCGATCGATTTGCTGTTGAACGACAACATAACCAAGTACTTTATCAGCGATACCTCAAATTTGGGTAATTGAACTTCATGTCACAAATGACTTGATAGCAAAATATAGCGACGAAGTTTCACTACAATTCTACAATACTAGTAAATAATTAAACTGTTTTGTGGCGGACTTACGAAATTTGAACTTTAGTGAAAGTCGACTTCAAAGTCTGAGCGCCTATTCTTAAACCCTAAGAAGTTTTGATCCGGCGCAAAAAGGGCTAAGCTTTCGATTTTTTCTGGCAACGTAAAAAGGCGTAAGTTTTAAATTACGTATAAGCGCAATTGTCTATCAAAGAAATAAGAGGAACTTTCTGAAGAGTTACAGCCGTACAATGGATTCGAATCTGTTGCTTTTATCTTGCTCCAACCATCGCTTAACGTTGTGTTGCTTGTCGATGGCGCATTCGAATGCTGTAAAAGATCAGCTTAGACGACAACACAGCTTGAGAAAAGGAGACTGTAACTTGCAGCTCGCACTTTGTAGCCGCGATATCCTCAAACGAGGAATGATTCTATGCCACGAAGGTCGAAATTATCTGAACTCCCAAGTATTTATGCTTCAAGCCAAGTCGCTTGACCCGGATAAGTCATTGACAAATGACTTGCCGTTGCAACTACCAATGCCTCTAAATTGGAAGAATTTTTAGTGGAAGTAGCCCTCCCAACTGAGATGACAGTCCTAAAGGGTCTTGAACGCTGCTTCTGGGTGAGCAGTTGTGAGCGTCTTATGAGCCAGAAAAACTGAACGTCTGATTAGAATTAATGGTAAAAGACCATCCAATTTGCAAATGGATAAATGGCGAGCACATGGGTAGCAAGCAGGAAACTTTTTCTCCATCGAGAGGAGTCGCCAGTGTTCCATTTGTGCAGGGTACACGTTCAAATTTTTGCCACAGAAACTCTCAAAACTCCTTATCCAAAGACGCTTAACAGATAAAAAAGCAGACGTGAGATCAGCGTTCGAAATTTTCCAAGATAAAGTCTGTGAAAACCATGTGCTCCTTTTTCCATAGCAACTATTCACCTGCAAGGCGTGGGCGTTGCGCAGCGATCTCCGGTCCGGTACGGTGAATTTGAACTCTCAATTGGTACGCCCGCGAACGCCACAAGTTGCTCTAGGCGTTGCGCTTGAGCTGATCCGAAAGGACATCTTTGACACAGACTATATGCGTTACCTTGGCAAAGGCCACTTCGATTAAACCAGGGACTCAGACAATCGCCGGGGGCAGGCGGTCCGCAAATTCGCGCTTTTCTGCAAGCGGTCAGCAGAATTTTGGGGCTTGGCCAAACCTTCAGCGAGCGGTCCTTCCTTCTGTCTAATGTTCTGCCAGCGGGCAGCAACACAGCATTTTTGCAAGCGCTCGGCAAATAATTTCTTTCAGCAAACGCTGGCCGAACTTTCAGCAGGCGCTCGGACTTTTTTTACGCAGTTTCGTCGAGCACAGGTAAGACTCTGTGTGGCGGAGGTGTCACCGTTGGTTTAATTACTCAAGTTTGAGGTACTTTTTCTCAGCGGAAAGTACCTGGGTGCTGTGCGGTCCTCCACAAAGGAACGTGCGGCCCTCGAAAAATTTTGCATATTCTCGCGGAAAGTTCGCGAGAATGCGGCCACTGGGTCGCAGCTAATCTATAAGGAAACCGCGATCGTTCTCCAAGCATTCGTCTAAAATTTCGCTAAAATTCTTCCAAATATCTGTAAACGGACCGCAAGAAATCAGCGAACTATTTTTCCGGTGCCCGCCCGACCATAAATCGCATGGCCGCCTGCCCCGGCAATTATCTGAGGAAATACTTCCAGTGGTCGTGGCCGTTTGATATGAGATGCGTTGGTCCAAAGCACTTTTGAACGTTGATTTCAAATCTTCATTCCGTTTTTTGCGGAACGCTCTTCTGGAGGGAGATATAGAAGCATGAAACCTGTTTTTAGGCACTTCCTGAGTTTGAAAACGCTCTGAGTGCATTAGTGGTGCAGTGGTTAGCGTAAAGGCATTAGAGTCGGAAGGAATGGTTCGAATGCGACGGAGATCGTTTTGTTTTTGAATTTTGAATGTAAGTCGATAAGCACTCAAAGGCAGTGTCCAGGCTAAATCTAACCCCCTCCGATTAGTGTCGATCCTGAATGTGGGCAGAGCGAGAGGGGCATCTGCGTTGCTCCGGTACTCTGATGTGTCCCTGAATGGAGATAAGGGACCTGGAACAGCCGAAGTGCTATCAGGCCCCGCTCAGATCCAATCACACTCTTCCCACTTATGTACTGAAAGCCGCCCGCGCCCTCAATACTGGGTCCCGAGGAATCGTTTTCGGGGTATTTGGACTATTTGAACTTCATAATTGTAATCAAGGCCACGGAAAGGTCCCGGAAGGACAAGAACATGAGAGGCAGAATTTTAGACGCTGCCTTTAACACGTTTACGACAAGCCCGATTTTCGATTACTGCCATTTCGTAGAGGAGCCTTTTCCGCTTCGTCAAAACTACGACCCACCCGTGGGTCGTATTGTCCGAGATGGTAGTCGTTTTGAGAAAAGTTCAAAACAGGTCCCCAAAATTCTTCCAGATGGGTAATCGAAGGCGCTGATTATTGAAAAACAATTTATTTCAGTTTTTGGCGTCGTACGGCAAGGTTACGTTAGTCGTCCTGTACGAAACAAACGCCACAGATTTCCATGAAAATTGTGTTTGAAGTTGTTTCACGTGCTGATTACGTTCATAATGTCCACTTTGTTCAGTATTGTCCCACAGTAGTGAACAAAGTGGGGCTACGGTAGCAGTACGGTAGAATACTCGCAGAAATCAAGAAACTGATGTAAGAAGTGGCATCAAAACTTTAGACTATCATTTTCGTAATCAGCATGCTACAAACCTATATATGCAAAGTTCGAGCTTCTTAGGATGAAAAATGTAAAAAACTAGTAAAATCAATAAAATCGATAATTTTTTGGTGGGCTAACGTCAGCCTCTTGCCCGCCTGCCTCGTGTTACTCTTATATGTAAACTTGATTCTCCAGAAACAGCGTCATTTTGCGAAGAATTTGAGCTACAAGTCTGCGCCTTATATCTATCTATCGTATACTCAACACTGCATTACAGTATCCCGAGCCCGGACCACTCTGGCTGGAGCTTCACCTAGGTGTTCCCAATCATGTGCCAAACACCCCCGTAGAATTACATCGTAAACTGGCAAAGATAGCGTTTCATGATCTTACGACCCACCGGTGGGTCGTATTGTCCGAAATGGCAGGACACGTACGACCCACCGGTGGGTCGTATTGTCGTCAATGTGTTGAAGGCAGTGTCCGGGCAAAAAGTCGATTATGAGATTTTGTGCTTACCCGGGCCTATTTGCTAATCTGAATCCGAAATCAACACTAGAGAGCGCGAAAATGGCGAAAAAGGACTCTAACACAGGAGGAAAATCAGCAGGTAGGCGGAGTTCTTCCCCACTGTGAATTCGCGATCTCAGCTTCCAAAACAATATTCTCTGTTCCGATTACAAGTCAAGCGTTCGCACTCGCCCGCTGGCGATGTCAGGACGGTCGGCGAATTCCCCTCCTGCGTTAGAGTCCTTTTTCGCCGTTTTTGCGCTCTCCTGTGTGGATTTTCGAATTCAGCATAGCGAATATGCCACAAGCACAAGTCTCAAAATCGACTTCTGGACACTGTCTTTAACACATTCATGACAATACGACCCACCGACGGGTCGACGCTTGTGAGAGATTCCTGAAGCTTTAGCTTTGACAGTATATGATGGAATTCTACGGGATTCTGGCACATGATTGGGGCTCCATGTCAGGAGTCACGCCTCGCGCCGCGCCGCTTCGCCGCGCACGTCGCGTTTAAATTTTGTACCCCATAAAACTTCCCGGTGCTAAAGTGGCACGGCGCCAGTCTAGGGGGATGGGAGGTGGGGGCAGATACATGGCTCGTGCCATAAGTAAGACTGCGCCAGGAGTGCTGGCTTCGGTTTTGGGACATCGCTTGCGGCATCGCTTCGCGAAAAATTCGCGCCGACCGTGACTCCTGACCGTCCCCCCATGATTGGGACACCTTGGCGAAGCTCCAGAGGGGTCCGGGTTCGGGATACTGTAAAGTAATGTTACGGCAGGTATACCGTAAATAGAGGTAAGACACAGACTTCAGCTCAAATTTTTCGCAGAGTGGTACTGTTTTTGCAAATAAGTTCGCATGCACGAGAAAGGACACGAGACATGTCAGCCCATCAGAAATTATCGATTTTGTTGATTTTATTGATTTTTCGCATTGTTCATCCCAGAAGCTCAAACCTTACATGTATAGGTTCTTTAGCACGCTGATTACGAAAATAATAATCTCAAGTTTTGATACTGCCTTCCTACATCAGTTTCTTGATTCCTACGAAAATTCTATCGTACTACTCCCACAGTCGCACTGTGGAAAAGTAGTGGACAAAGTGGACACTATAATCGTGATCAGCACGTGAAATAACCCCAAAACAATTTTTCATGAAAATCCATGATGTTGGGTTCGCACAAAATGACTACCGTAACCTTACCGCATCCTGCCAAAAAATTGAAATAAATCATATTTTAGTAATCAGCGCCTCCGACAACGCTCGTGGGGAAATTTTTGGAGACATGTTTTGGATTTCTTTCAAAAAGATTACCATTTCGGACAATACGACCCACGGGTGGGTCGTAAATCTGACAAAGCGAAAAAGGCTCTGGTCTGAAACAGCAGTAATCGATTGGCCTTGTCGTGAATATGTTAACAACACATTCTAACAGCTTGTTGAATGTGCAAAACCTTTGATTTCTCCAGTCGGGTACTGGAAACGTTATCACTCCGCTCTTATCATTACTCATCGAACGGAAACATGCACACCGTCACTTCCATCCTGCTATAGGCTTTCTGCTTTATCAAAGAGCAAGTCGGTTCAGGTTTGTTAGCTTGCAGTTTAATTGAGTAAGTTTTCAAAACAATTTTTATATGCACATCCTTTCAGTTTTGATCTTCCCTGGAATTGCCTAGAACCGTCCAACACTCTTTGTTTAAGCATCTTTTGTTTTTTTTTTCAATGTAGGTAAGCGCAAGAGCGCTCCAATCATTAAAATAAGCATAACATTCAGTTGATTGCAAAATATAAAATTGGAACGAACCGAAAGCGGTTGCTGCATTTCCACTTACCACCTACTGAGATACCGAAAAAATCACCAAATTACTTGCAAGCCCCAATACAGGCGTTTCCTTTCGTGCAAATTCACGCTTGTGTCATTCAAGATTTTCTCATCTTTACTGCGCTGCGAAGTACGACGGAATGTTGCACGATTCTAGATAACTGCCTTTAACCATTATTGTACTTGAGAAGAAAGTGCTTAAATTCTTTGTTTGTGATTTGAAGATTTACGTGATTACGCAACTTTACCTGTGTAAGCGCAGAATGGCTAAAGCAAGTAGATAAACGCAATGACCCTTACCTGGGTAATCAGAGGCTTCGTTCAACGGTACCAAAAAGGTTCAGCTCCTTCGAATCCACAAATATCCACTATATCATTTGCCATGCATTGAACGCCCTAGATACATGTGAGAAGAATCTCCGTAATACAGGTACCTTCTTCCTGCAATTCCGCCATTCATGAAAACAGCGCTTGTAATAAGTGCGTCCAAAGAGTCTCAATAAGATCCATGTTCATCGAACGTTGACGATAAAGGGAAGAAGATCGGGTAGGGGAACGAAAGCCGCCAGTTTGAGCCGCCTTTCGCGGCTAACTGGTCCTTTCGCCACGTTGTTGCATGTCGACCCAGGACCGGCAGTCCGCGCAGGACCGAGGCTGGCGGCTTTCGTTCCCCTACCCGAGAAGATCTCCACTGGGGATGCCTTCCAATCCCATTTCCGTATATCTCGCATCGGGCTTCTTCATGAACTAAGTCTTCTTGCGATTTAGTCGCAGTGCGATCTTCTTCCTTATTTCGATAAGTCCCTTCAGCACCGTCTCTGCTTCAGTAATACTGCTCGAGAAGAGAACGATCGTCCGCATAACGAAAGTTTGAGATTAATTTCACATGAGTATGCCTTCATACCAGTCCAGTGACTTCCTCACCACTAGGCCGTGGTGAACTGCTTCCCCAAAATTGTGTTGCCCTGTCGCGCTCTTTCCAATTGGGATGGAGGACGATGGAAGCTTTCGTCGTGTACAGTCCTCAAAGCGGTCGGCTGATGTCTCGACATAAGCAACATAAGCTGGGTTCACTCCTTGATCGACTAGCGCTGACGTGATGGCGTTGATTTCGACGTTGTCAAAGGCTTTTTCGTAGTTGACGAAGGTTAGAACGAGAGGCAGTCGATACTCCCGGCAGACTTATGATCCTCGAAACCGTCTGGTTGTGGTCCATGGAGCTGAATCCTTCGCGGAATCCAGCGTGTTCTTGGGGCTAGGATTCATCCAGTGTCCTAGATATGCGAGCGAGATTAATCTTCGTGAAGACTTTGTACATCACATTCATCAAGCATAATGGACGGCGGTTACGAAGTTACTTTCGCTTCCTTCTTGAGAGAGACGTTCTTAGAACTCTGTATTGTTGGAAATCTTTTCATCTGAAGCAAAAATATTAGATGCCACGCAAAAAACTAATCTAGACGCTTCTTGATCTGGCTCTCAGAGTGTCTACAGAAAGATGGTGCAGAGACGTAGATGGCCTGGATTGCGTGCGCACTTCGGGCTGGTAATTCCCTATTTGGAGCAATAGACGTCGGCACGGGCACTGATGAGCGGAAGAGTTTGATAGGAATTCCTCGAAATAAATTTCTTTTTATGTCGAGATTCTGAGTCCCGTCTTTGTGCCTGTTACAGAGGTCGGTTTAGCAGCTTTCGAGCCTTCGTCATTCTTTGGCTGCTTCCGATATCTTCGCTGAGCTAGATTCGAAGATCCTCCTGCAAAGCTTGCAGTCAGCATTTGCTACCGTTGCTCAAGAGAATGTGTTTAGATGTTCCTCAAGGCTCTCCTCCTTTTGCTTGGTGGTCTTTGAAATACGTTCCAAGTTCTTCTCACGAATCGTTGAGCATATTCTCCGCAGGCTCATAATCCTTTAGAAACACTGGTAGCCTACAACATTTGCGCGTAAAAATGGCAGTCGATGCTCCTGCGGTGTGGACAACACTTGCGCGTGGACAAGTGGATATAGGGGATAGAACTCAAATACGCGAAGTACTGTCACCGCTTCAAAAATATAAGAACGGTCAAATCTGCAGGTTAAGAAAAGGCCAAAAGCTGAGAAAATTTTGTTCCAGAAAAGAAAAGAGAAAAAAACTGCACTTGACCAATTGATCTGTCACAATCTAGAGTAACCCTTACAATTCGCTCAGCTTATATTTGTGACTGTCTGGATAGACCTTTGAAACTTTATCTTCAATGACCAATATATCGAACAGACCAGCATCAGTGTCGGGCGCTAATTATGTGGAAGCAGGCAAAACCTTGTTTTTGGAGTGAAAAAGGAAAGAGGATATCGTTGTGGTTAAAAATTGCGTTTTTTCTAGTCGACGTTTCGTTTTCTGAGAATTTTTTTACGTTTGAAGGTGGGAGTCCAAGAGGACTTCGTAAAATTCCGCAGAAGTCAAACGGGACTTCGTTTTCAAGAAATCTAGAAGCGAACTCATGCCGGGCACATTATTCTTCGTCTTCATTTTTACCTACTGTAAGTGCTATCTATGTGCGCAGCGTTACGCCCTCAACACTGCAATTCACGCCTGGTACATGACGAGTTGAATTTGTGCGTCAGCGAATTCGTTTGAAATATTTGTTTGTCCTTTTGGGATGCTGTTTTTGCATCGCCTTGCTTGTTCTTCTTTAAAATTTAGCTTCCAAGTATTTGGTTTATTTTCTGGTCTTGGTAGTCCTGTGTTTATATTCGTGCCATTCTTGACTTTCCCAATTTCCCAATTCGCTTCATCTCGAGTATTCTCTCATGCTACGATATAAATCATTTTTTTTCAGACAACAGGGATGGATTCGCGTGGAAGGAAGATAATTGTTGTCGATAACGGGTCTGGGGTAAGTTCAATTTCTTTTGCTCTATGGAAGTATCGGGATATTCTTGTCTATCGTTGTGCTCCCTTTGCTCCCTTGATTTCTTTTTTTACTTAGCCGCTAGAAACTCTACATTCCGAGTAAATATTTTAGTTTGTGAAATGTGGCTATGCGGGCACAAATTTTCCAACCCACATCTTTCCATCACTAGTTGGTCGACCTCTTGTTCGATCATCACAGAAAGTAGGAAACATAGAAATTAAGGTACGTTTCTGTTTCATTTGTTGATCTTTTGATTCGGCGTTTCCTGTTCTAATTTGTTGGTATCATTGCCGCGTGTTTCACCGGTTAGATTTTTTGTTGTCTCCCTTTCAACTTTTTCAATCGAAATCATGCTTTCTCTTTATTTTGATGCATATCACAACCTTGGCTATTCTTTTGCAAGCTTTCCCTCTGATATCTATCTCTTCCTCACACTTTTTTTCAACATATCTTGAATATAACTCTTCTGTCATAGCGGAATCGCTCTCGCCTTCATACTCGTAATGTGTTCTTTCATAAGTGCATTTGGGTGCCGTCAGCTAGGCAGGAATTTGTTGTAAGAAAGAGTCCTTTCTTGCTATACTGCGTGATGCTAATCTTTAATAGTAGATTCCTGCAAAAGCCGGTTATACCCTCATGAGCTAGGTTTTCGATCATTGGCTCTGTCCATACCAAGTCTAGTTTCAGTTTACTGCATTAGATCTCAATCTGCGTTACTATATTGCAACTTCTTTTTTACCTTTGATGTGAGATTTTTTGCACATAAACCATGTTTGTTTCAAACTAATTTCAACCGGAAATGATCGAATCTGTTCATTTTTTCTCAGTTTACCTACCCTGCCTTTGCATTTCGTAGGATCGTACATTTGATTGCCAATGCTCCGTCCTTCTTTTATCTCATTATATGCGTTTCTTCCTGTTCGGCTTCGAATCGAACACATATAGATTACAATGAAAGGGTATTAAGCTGGCTTGCTCCCTTTTCAAAGATTTAGCTTGCCGAATTATCTAGAAAGCTCATTGTAAGTGTTTAGGATCTTATGGTTGGTGAAGAATGTTCACAACTTCGACAGATGCTTGACATATCTTATCCTATGGATAATGGCATAGTGCGTAATTGGGAAGATATGGCTCATATATGGGACCACACGTTTGGGCCGGATAAATTAGACATCGACCCGAAAGTAAGTAACTTCGCAAAACGTGGTCGTTCCTTACATTCTCCATTCTGGTTTTATCAGTTTCCTTATCTTATTTTTTACTACGAAAATGATGTGGGAATAGTCCACGTCATCTTTGTTGCCATTCTTGTTTCCATCACTATTTATTATCCATTGTTGCCCCGAATTTGTTAGGATTTCGAGAGCTATTATGGCATTAACGCTGCGAAGACACTTGTTTGGGCCTCACTTTGTGCTCGCTGATCTTTGTACAAAGGTGTGCTGAACATAAAACTCGCTGGAAAAAGACCATTATCCGGCAATGCGCTCGCTGTTATACATAAATGATGATAGATGATGCAGCAGCTGTCAATGGGAATTGGGAAGTTGGAAGGTGAAAGCCATATGCGCCCGGTGTAACTTTACTTAGGGGAGGTTTTGCATGCTTGTCACAAGTGCCGTCCAGCAAGCACATGATATGGTTGAGGTGGAGAAACCCAGAAACCTGTTAATTTGTTTCTGAAAGAACTGGCTGGTTAATTTTGATTATGACTAAGATTCTAAAGTTTATTACGAAAGTTATGGAAGAGTTTTGTTTCTGTTTTATCACTATAATCACATATATCATACCAGGCAATCATCTAAACTCGCCAATAAACTGATACTTACTTTTCCTTGCAACGAGCTAATTTTTCTCATTCTAGAAAATTTTTGCGTTCTGTATGTTTTTTCTCAGGCGCTTTCTCTTGCATTGGTTTGTCACTTTCTTATATTCGTTGTAAGCTATACAGCTTCAAATGTTGCAGTGTGCATCGCTTGCCGCCATGAAATAGAGTTTTGCCGACAATTATGACTTCGTTAGTGTTTACACAGGCAACGTTTGATATTAATGATTCATCTGTGTTTCACCCAGTGTGTGCGTCACGCTCTCCTTGGCCTAGGCATGTTCAAATGGTTGTGTATACATATGATTAGAGGGAACTGGTGTGAAGCAGATTGACAGGGGCCGCCCTGTTGTTCATTCTGGGGGGGGGGGGGGGGTTATGCTTATTCGTAAAAATTTGAGTTTATATAATGAGCATGTGACCATAACAGGAGCCTTGTTAAGCAGAGAGGGAAGATGGAAATGCTGTTTGTTCTTTACAGACGAGTATGAATTGATTGGTGGTGATGAAACTGGAACTAGTTCGTACTTAATTATGCATTTAACTGCAGTCATCGTTCAGAATCACTCCATATCCTTTTCTTCTTCAGGATTGTAAACTTCTATTGACTGAACCACCCCTGAATCCAAGTAGTAATCGAGAGAGACTCTTTCAAGTGATGTTCGAACAGTATGGCTTCCATTCTATACATGTAGCAGTACAGGTAAGCAAATTTCCCTTAATTCCATCTCTTTTACTTTTCTACACATTGTTTCTGGTCCTTGCTTTCAGTATCTGGCTTTTCCCATGCTAAGAAGTTTTCAGGCTGTGCTGACTTTGTATGCTCAAGGTCTACTTACCGGTGTCGTGGTTGATTCTGGTGATGGAGTGACACATATCTGTCCGGTATACCAAGGATATGCACTTCATCACTTAACACGAAGGCTAGATATTGCAGGGCGAGACATCACCCGCTACTTGATTAAGGTATAGATTCATTGAAGATTGATTACTTGTAAAAGTACTTACTGATTCAGCTACTGTTGCTGCGGGGTTACAACTTCAATCACTCAGCTGATTTTGAAACAGTACGACTGATGAAGGAAAAATTGTGCTATGTGGCTTACGATGTCGAGCAAGAGCAAAAGTTAGCATTGGAAACAACAGTGCTATCACAGACTTATACTGTAAGTATTTATCTTGCTTGTTTTGTTTTTATCCACTTTTATGTGTCTGATTTTGAGTTCTCCTTCCGTTGTCTGTCTGCTTTTTGCTTTTCTCGATGATTACATTTGAAATTTCGCAATCGTATCTGTTATGAATCATCTCATTTTCATTGATGTGATGCCCCCATGTGTTTTCATCAGCAACTGGTATTTCCGGTTTTTGACCCTCGGCTTTGATTTCTCAAACGGAAATTGGCTGTTCATCTACTTTAAGAAGCCTTCGCGTCCTATCCTCTATTTGTGGGGTAGGGGAACGAACGCTACCAGTTTGAGCCGCCTTTTGCGGCCAGCTTGTCCTTTGGCAGCGTTGTTGCATGCTGTTCCTGGACCGATAGCCCCCGAAGGCGGACCGATCTGGCGGCTTTCGTTCGCCTACCCATGTGATTGTCGTCGACCATCAAGCTTATTTGGTTTTTGACTACATAGTCTGATTCATCCTGTTCAGAGTTCTTCAAAGCTAGCCAAAGGAAAATTTTGCGATCCCTCAGACTTTTACTGTGATTATGACTCACTTTTTGAGCTTTGGTGTGCTATTTATTCTTCTTCGTTGCATTTATTATCTGTTTGAAGGAAGTGCTTAGCATGTAAGGACTCGGGTGCCCCACGCGACTTATGTAATTTATCCACCACGTATTGAACTTCTATGCTCTTCGGTCTTCTTTGACAGCAAAATCTTCCGGACAGTTTTGTCCTTCGAATAATATGAATGCTATGTGAAGATTTGTACTCCAAACCGCATGTGTTTTCTATTAGCTGTACATTAAGCTGCCGGATGGTCGCACTATTCGCCTTGGTGGGGAAAGGTTCGAAGCGCCAGAAATACTTTTCCAGCCACATCTCATAAATGTTGAAAAACCAGGATTGTCAGAAACATTGTTTGGATGCATACAATCTAGTGATATTGGTATGCTTTGGTTATGTGTTGATTGTTAATGGGAGACATGCTAGATTGGAGGATAATTCTGGTTTCTTTTTAGATACTCGACTAGACTTCTACAAGCATATTGTATTGTCCGGTGGATCGACTATGTATCCGGGTCTTCCAAGTAGATTGGAGAAAGAAATGAAGCAATTATATTTGGACCGTGTTCTCAAAGGAAATACAGAGCTTTTTCAAGTGAGACACAATTTTTCAGTTTTTATAGCTTCTTCGACTTTCCATTTATGTTTTTCATGGATATTTTGAAAAGTTCCGACTATTCTTTTTTTTCATCAGCTTGCTGTTAAGTAGAGCTCATGACTAGAAAAGCTATTTCGCTCTTCATCCATCCAGTTTCATTCTTTGCTGATGGCAGATTAGACCAAAATCTCAAAAAACACTACGTTTCTCGATTATATGCCCAAATTGGCCTGCATGCGCTTCTGTTTCAGTCAGTCTGGGTGTGCTTTGTCCACATATAATAGTCATTTTCATGGCTCTTGTTTAGCCTTTAGATGAAAAGCTTGCTGCTCTCAAATGTGACCGCTCCTATTTCCAGCATTACCTCCATACATAGCCTCTCCTCCTTGCATACCATTTTGGAAGCAAGTTGCATGAATGTTACTTTTTCTTGTGCGGCCTCGTTTGTTGCATTGTTTTCATCGCTGTGTTGTGCTGCGCAATCATTGACAGTCCGATCGACCCCGTCGTCTTTATGCGCGTGTCCCGGATTAGCATAGTCAAATAGACAGTCACCTAGATTGCAACGCAGTTGGGGGTGGTATCGAGGCGGTGGGCTGGCAAACGCGAAACGAAAAGAAATGTTGTCTGTTCTGACCCTGATTAATGTGAATCAACCAGGTATAAGATCATTCAAGCGTAATCCTAGATGAGCACTGGAGTTATGAAGAAGCTATTTTTGTGAATTTGAATGCACCAAATAAAAACATGGATGTTGTCAAGACAAAAGCAAGTTTTCTCATTCAATGGTTATGGAATAACTCGAGCACGTCATAGACGACGCTTCTGCTTTTCAGTCATAAGTATTACCTATAGTTAGCACAAAACTGAGGTCCCTCCATAATTCAGTTGATGGAACGACCTCAGTTTTGCTGGTTTTTCTTGTTTGAAAAATCTGTTCTAAAGCTCCTTATCTCTTCTCATACAGTATGATTTTTTCAGAAGTTCAAAGTACGTATCGAAGCGACACCATTTCGAAAACATATGGTTTTCCTTGGTGGTGCTGTACTAGCGAACATCATGAGAGATAGGGACCATGTAAGTCCTGGCTTATTTTTTGCCTTTTTGTTTCTGCTTTCGTTTACATTTCTGCGTCTTTGACCATATCTGTGATCTTTATCTTGTTCTTTCATCATTTTTTGCTCCTCTCATCTTTGCTTAAATATTGACTCCCTAAACGAGTTTCTCGGCATTCCTCCCATCGTGCAGAAATCCTTTTTTTTTCTGTCTGTCCTCTTTTCGATGCAAATGCGACATCATTCGCAGACTGTACGATTTGCTCTTTGATGCGAAGTGTACTTAGTGCAACTTGGTAGTTGACCGGAAGGCGAACAATGGCTTTGTTAACTTTGGCTAGTTTTTGCAATTCTTGTACGTCCTTTTCTCAGTGTTTGAAGAGTCCTTGTTGGTTGAGTGGCTCGAATTCCTAATCTTAGCGCCTATTATTAGAAGACCGTGATAGAATTTGGGGTCTATTTTGATGAGCTAGTCGTTCATAGATATACATCTATTGCAAGGTAAAAATGAAAGGTTTTCATGGTGGATCGAATGTATGACAGGTGAAAGTCTGATGGTGGATAAATTTGTCACTTATCATGAAGACTATTTCTAATGACAATCTTGACAGGCTCGCAAGCTTTCGTTTGAATTGTAACTTTCTTCAAATCTTCCTTTGTAATTAGGTTTAACGAAGACGATTAGACAGAGGTGAATATCGATTTCTGAATTGCCGAGCATGATCCCGTAAATTTTTGGTGAAGTCAAACTTTGCACTACATTTTTTCTGTGGGTGCACTATGTCCAGTAGCTGTTTTATACAACTCTTCAACTTCTTCGACCTAAACTTTCAATTTATTTTTCGTTCGCGGTTACGTTTGGAACCCGTGTTCTGCATTTATCAGAGGAAGATAGGGATCACATGCTACGCCAATCACTTCGTAGTTCCTACATTTTTCACCTATGTCATTTATTATATCTCATCTTCAGTATATTTTTATCTTTCTTTTCTACTATTTTTGAGTAGCTCATTTCATTAACTGTTAGTTTTTTTCAGTCTTTTGCTTCATTCTTCTCCTATTGTATACTCCTTTTGATTGATTGCTTTCTGGTCATTCCATTTGGTAGAAATTCAGCTCCTAGTTAGGTTAGACTTTACTTAACATCCCATTCATTGTAGAAATCCTTTCGCATGCTAGTAGAAAGCTTTGAAAGGGAAAGCAATCTTCTCATTGCTACTCTGACATCCGCTTTGATTGTGCCGTTGCCGCAGTTTGCACATAGTCATGTCCTATTAGTTCCCACGGAACTTTAGTGGAATTTGAAGAATGTAGAAGTGATTCATTTTGCTGCGGTTTCTATAGGATCTTGTGAAAATTCCTATTTTAGGACTTTTGGATCTCGAAGAGCGAATACGAAGAGGGTGGTCTACAGCGGTGCTTAGTGAAATTGGGAATAAGGTAGGGCTTGGAACTCTGCTCACTCAGAAATAAACGTCAGTCAAGGAGGTTGTTTTGAAACTCAACTCATTTTCTATTGTCGTTCGTCGTTGCTGCATGTTCAGTTATGTATCGAATTGTTTTATGTTATTCGAGAGAGACCCATGCCTATTGATTTATCGTTAAGTTATTGAAACTATTCTCTGGAATCTTCTTGGCCCCCGAATGTGATAAAATTTTAAAGCTAATAATGCTCCGTACTGTTAATATGCGCCCTATGATGTGTTGTTATCGATCACTTTTATCATTCTTGTGCTCTACTGCTCACTCCGAAGCTCTTACGATGAACTCGGTCGACACTCTCGCGTGTACATTTTTATTATGTCTCTATCCGTCTGTCTGCCTGTTTGTTTGTCTGATTGTGTCTATTCTGTTACCGTCGCGTCCTCCTCTTCGCATCCGTTTGTCAGTTTTCGTTTTTGTGTGTTAAAGTAGTGATTGCTTTCAAGTTTGATATACATATTTATTTTTTATCAAATGTTCTTCTGTAGGTTTTTTTCTTTATGCTATGGATATGAAAAGTTTTCCTCTAGAGAAATGTGGGATTTTTGGAGGTACGAAAAACAGCAGAGAATTGCGCGCATCCATGGAATTTTGAAACCTTATGAGTTCATTCCCACGAATGCAGGCCAGACAAACGTACGACGGCCACGCCCATTGTTGTCCTAAGTTGCATTCTTGGTGAATCGTCTTTGCAGATGTCGTCATCCAAATTCGGCTTCCTACCCAGTTTTTCGTATCGCTATTTTTGCTCGGTTCAGGTGGTAATTTAGATTACAGTCGAGTACATTATTCGCTTGTGTGCTTGCACTGTAGGTGAAATGCGGTAAAATTTGCACGTGAACAAATAGCTACTCCTATCGTCGGCCAATTGCGCGCGCAGAATACCGGCAGTACTGACATGGCTAATTGTTTACGCGCAGTTTTTACCGCCACTGCAGGCACACTATATATAGCGGAAAATCTACTGGACTGTACATGTAATGGCAGTCAACATCCGTATGATTTCCCATAACCTAATCTTGATGTTACATAAATCCTCAAGTCTTTTGTAACTTGATATGTGTATCTGGGCACTAAGCGTGGCAACCAACGATACCCTTACCGGTGACTCTGCTCTACTGGTAACTCCTCAAAACTTTTTAAACTGCACAAACTTCAAAAATGATTACTAAATAATGCATGCCCTGCATAATCAACACGTTTCGGACCGCGAAATCGCGCGCGGCGAAAAAGAGTGTACTTTCGGCCGTTAGCCTACAAAGGGACATTCTTTCGCAGCCTGTGGGCCACATTTGTAACCAGCATGTCAAATAAGCTCCATACCCAAAGTTCTGAGTGAATTCGAAGTGTTTAGATTTTGTCGCTTGAGAGGGACTTTTGTGCTTTCTTGAAAGATAGGAGGAAGAACTCAGTTTCAAATAGCATTCAAAAGTATCTATGATGTACACTGTACACATCATTATTGAAACCACGGTTTTTCCCTTTGGAATCGAAGCAAGGAAAAGTTGCGACGTCGCACGCGTCGTTCGCGTTGCCGCACTTCGTTGCAACTCTTGTTCGTTTTGTCCTCATATCTCCTGAACAAATGTGCGCGGCACAGCTCTACAGAGTCATTTGAAAAGTAGGAGCTTAGACCTTTGACTTAACAACTTTGGACTAAAGGAAACCTCCTGTAAACGCCAGAAAGGTCCTTCAAAGCAGCGTGCTGCACCATGTGCAGCACCGGTCCGAAACGTGTTAAAAGAGACAATGACAAAGAAAAACCATTGAAAAAAGCAGGTTCCACTCTTACAAGTCGTCAAGTAGCGCGCATGGCGTGCAACACGCATCTGAAGTTAAAGATTGGACGACGGTAAGTATGTACTGTAGTATACTGTTGAGAGTACTTCAACTGCTTGCACTGCCCTACGGTCAATCTGACCTCTTTCACTTTGCTTCCCCCTCCCTCCCCCTCTTCTGTTTGTGTGCTTCGGCCTGAGTGTAACGAGCATTTTGGTGCTAGCGTGATTACTTCTGGAATGCGAGTAGCCCTAATTACTCGTTTGCTGCACCCTAACAACTGGGTTCCATTCTCGAAAAGTTCGTTCGGGTGCGGACTAATAGCCTCATCGAATTTCAAGCGGTTCTGACTCTTTCGCTTTGCATAGTAGTGAATTCGCCCACTTCTGGTGCTATAACTTCATCCTGCTTGCCTTAATGGCTTCTCGAAGAACTTGCTAATTTTTTGAACATCTGTCCACTATAAACCGAAAAAAACGAACGAAGAAAAACGAAGATCAATTGCAAGAGCAAGCAACTCATACGTGGGAAGTTTTCTACATTCAACATTAAAACAACCGCAATATATAAAAGGTTCTCGGTGGTTAAATATTACCAAATTTTCGCGTTCTATACAGGTTACTTGATTTCGTTATTATTGAAATGACTTCACAGGGCATAGCTTTGTGAAAAGTGAATCAACACTATAAAAGAATTTTCGGATCAAAAGGCGAATTAATTGGCAGAATTATAAAAAACTTAGACATTATAGGGAGTAACCAGAGAAAATATGCTGGGACCGCAACTGACATAGCCAATCTCGCTCTCGAGTAAAAACGGCTTTAGTTTTGGACCCAAGGTTGCGGTTTCAAAGTAGTAGACATTTCCCTTCATGAGCGCTAATTTGCTCATTTTTTTTTCTACCATGACGTCATAATGCACTGAAAGGACACGTGTTAATCAAGCAGGCACATTGTCGTATTTGAATGAGTCCATTACTAGCTTTGCTTGAGAAAGGTAGGGCCCGAGAGAGAGGATGACGAAGTTGGGTGATTGATGAAAAATAAGGCAATCAGTGTACTCGCAACTGAAACGAAAAAATTTCGATTTGGTGCATACATGTATTGCGCTTTGCGCCATGTACGAAAAAATCGTAGGAGCAAGAAAAAATTTCCAAAGTGAATAGGCTCAAGACTCACTACATTTCATAAACCGCTGCGTCAGTTTCTATCTCACATGCCAACCTAGATGCCTAGGGGTAAAATTTTCAGCTAAGGGCCGCATGCACTAACATCACCGCGGGGAGGGGATCGCAGCTTAGAAGAAAGCTTTATATTTCGAAACTCCAATTACCTGGATTTCATGCTGTGTACCTATCCGTAAGTGTTCCTGCTACCCTTCACTATGAACATGTTGAAGGGGAGCGAGAAGCTGTACAAACCACATTTTCCAGCTTTTGCATGATCCCTGATGATCCCCGGCGCTTTTCTTTAAAGTCATTTTTCTTTCTCCAAAGTTAACGGAAAACCTCCAAAGTTGTGCGTATCATCTAACCCGACAGTGCTAAGCATGTTGCTGATAAGAACAAATGATGTTTTGAAGTCATGAAATTTTCGATGATCCACAGGTCGAAATTCAGGGTTTACCGAAAAATTCGACTTTTCAAAAACTCATTTGTTCTTATCAGCAACATGCTTAGCACTGTTGGATTAGATAATCTGCACAACTTTGGAGGTTATTCGTTAAATTCGGAGAAAGAAAAATGACTCTAAAGAAAAGCGCCGGGGATCATCAGGGATCATACAGTCGCTTCATTTCATATGATCATGTGTGTCATTGCACACACAGTCCACCTTTGGCGTCCCCATCCTGAATTCGTGGGAGAAACAAACCTTCAGGTAAGTGTTTCCAAGGTGTTCTTAGCATTTGCTTTCCTTTTTAGTTATTAGTCACCTCAAATTGATGTAATTGATAACAATCGGTAAGTCTCTTGCGTTTTTGCGATTGCAAATCCAGGATGAGGACGCCAAAGTGGATTGTGTGTGCAATGGCACACATGATCATATGAAATGAAGCGACTGTACAAAAGCTGGAAAATGCGGATTGTACAGCCTCTCGCTCCTGTTCAACTTTTCATAGTGAAGGATAGTAGGATACTTACGGAAAGGTACACAACATGAAATCCAGGTACCTGGAGTTTCGAAAATATAAAGCTTTCTTTTAAGCTGCGATCCCCTCCCCGCGGGGATGTTAGTGCTTGCGGCCCTTAGGATCGCCCAATACCCCTCCCCTCACCCCCTCTCCCTGCGAAGTAGTCCACGGATGCAGACCCAGATGACTATATACTCCGTCCTAGATATTGTTGCGAATCTCATTTGCCATACAGTACCGCTCATTATCCTTCAAAAAAGTCAGTGACTTCACCGCAGTTCACTGAAATCAGCGTCGCATCGCCATATTTTCGTCCAAATGGACGAATTCTGAATTAAATTGAAAGGCACCGGAGAGTCAGCTTGGCTAGGAGCATCTTCTGATCTATAGAAGTGCTCGTTTGATACGGTAGGTGCACGGTAAATGCTCACATTCACCAACCTCTTTTTATTTTTGCTTATAGTAGGTTATCCGTGTGCATATTCATTGCACACTGAATAATCACCGCAAGTACCTAGCACCTACGTATACAAGCACTTCTATTTATCAGAAGATGTGCTGACTTTATCACTCTTATCGTCCCTCGCGGGGGTTTTGAGCCCAACAAGCTATCCCTGCGAGTAAATTCTTGTTCGACACAGTGATAATATGGAAAGCTCCTTTAATCTTGGAAGAGCCACTGGTAAGGCAGCGCCAGTGGGGACAAGGTTTGAAAGGCGATCTAGGCTGCCGAAAACGAGACGGACTATGATGACGATCTGTACTTACAACGCGAGGACGCTGGCATCGGACGCGTCTATCGAAGATCTCATGATGCAAGCAAGGAAGATTACGTACGACGTCATCGGACTGACCGAGACAAGGAGGCACCACCCGCTGAACGCCACATTTGAGACTGGAGAAGAACTGTTTCTAGGAACATGCGACAGTCGAGGAGTAGGTGGAGTGGGAGTCCTTGTCAACACGAGTTTGGCCATGAACATCAATTCGTTCGAACAACTTACAACTCGAATCGGACGTTTGCGAATATCAAGATGTGGATCAATCCCTGCCTTGACCGTCTTCATTGCGTACGCTTCAACATCCAGCTACGACGAAGACGAACTCGAGGAATTTTATATGGACTTGGAGAAGTTCTACAGAGAGTGATTTCAACGCGAAGATCGGAACTAGAAGGTCGACTGAGGAACTTCACATCGGAACCCATGGTTTGCAGTGGAACGAACAAGGGGAGAGACTGTCCGAGTTTATCATGACGACGAGGACTATCCATGGAAATTCACAGTTCCAAAAGCCCTCTTCCCTACGCTGGACCTGGGAATCGCCCGGTGGAGAGTACCATAACGAGATTGACCACATCATCGTCAACAGAAGGTACTGCCTGACGGACGTCGCTGTTGTTCCGAAGTTCTACACGGGATCAGACCATCGTCTCCTGCGCGCCAAATTCTACTTTCCGCGGAATGGAGAGAGAGCCGTCAAGTTCAGGAAACATCGTCCCATGAATACCACCAACT